AACTAACGGCTAGAACAATGAACGAAAAACAAAAATGATATACAGCAACAAACGACAACCACTGAATTACAGGCTCCTGACTTGGAACAGTCACATACAGAATGTGGCGGGGTTAAACTAGTTTGCTGGCGGTAAACCCTCCCCATAACCTGCGACAGTGGTGTAACAGTTCAACATACTGAGAACAAACCTTAAAAATCAGTTGAAAAGGGCTTAACTCATCAAATCGATACAAAGAAGAAAAACATCTAACAAAAACACAGACCTGGCGTGGCAGGGTATTTATACATCCCCACAAAAAAAAAAAGACACTAAGTACAGATCTGGGAGTACTTGCAGTTACTGACAGCTAGTTCAAAGCCAATGACAACTAATAAAAAATCATGCATCTTAGAATAAAATATCAATCAGTACACATCCATGTTAACATTTGAACGTTCTTTTTCAATTTGGAATAAATCTTCTTTTGAAAACCCTTGAACCAATAGCAACCAAAGTTATTGCGAGCATGGCTCCTAAAATGATGCTTCATCCCTTCATACTGAAACAATTGCAAAGTATCTGATTTGCTCCGGGAAAACTCAAAAATAATTCCGACGAAAAACCTTAATTAGAGGCGAACAATGGTAATATATAGTTAAAAGTTTATTAAATTTTAATAGGGAGAGGGTTTCTGCAATGGATAAAATATGACTTACACATAACAGTTCCATTCTGATAAAATGGTTTAGGAGAAGAAGCGGATACAAATGTCACTGGAGTCAACATAACAGTCAACAAAGCCATCTGCAGAACAATACAGCGACCAAAAGAACTATACAAGGAATACTACAGTCATAGAAACATACAAGGAATACGACTGCATAAAACTATACAGGGAATACGACAGTCATAGAGCTATACAGGGAATACGACAGCCATAGAGCTATACAAGGAATACGGCTGCCATAAAACTATGCAGGGAATACGACAGTCACAGAGCAATACAGTGAATACGACAGCCATAGAGCTATACAGGGAATACGACAGCCTAAGAGCTATAAAGTGAATACGACATCCATAGAACTAATACAAGGAATACGACAGCCATAGAGCTATACAGGGAATACGACAGCCATAGAACTATATAGGGAATACGACAGCCATAGAGCTAAACAGGGAATAAGACAGCCATAGAGCTAAACAGGGAATACGACAGCTAAAGAGCTATACAGGGAATATGACAGTCATAGAACAATACAAAGAATACGACAAACACAGAACTTTACAAGGAATACAACAGTCATTATTAGTTACATAGTGTGCTAGTGACCTAATACGATATATATGGGGTCAGTAAATTCCATATGGGATGAGAGCAAAGCTCGAATCCCCATATGGAGTTTACTGACCCCATATATATCGTATTAGGTCAATAGCACACTGTGTAACGAATTTATTTTACCGACTATTTTAACATATGGTATTTAGACTAGAGGCCTATCAAAGTGATTAAGTCTTCAATACTTAGTATCAAGAACCTACTTCCATTGGCCTATACAAAAACAAATGCCAACAATAACAACTTGTTAGCTTTAAATGTGTTTTATGAATTTATTTCAATCGTTCATCATAAATTTCTTCGTCTGTTGAAACCTTTCAAATTTTTCCTCAACACCGTGTTGGTTTTATAAAGGGGCGTAACACCACTACTAACCGTGTATTGACGCGGTTGATTTTAACCAATTATATTCCTAGAAATGTATAGGAGGTAAGATAAAGAACTATACAAGTAATCCGACAGTCAAAGAACTAAACAGGGAATACGACATCCATAGAACTATACAGGGAATACGACAACCATGGAACTATTCAGGGAATATGACAGCCCTACAACTATATAGGGACAACGGAAGCCATCAACGGAAATAAAAAGGGAATGAGACAATAATCTTAAGAACCGTACAGACAATACACCAACACCAATCAACAGAAATATAGAAGACAATACTACACCAAACAATATAACTATTAGGCAACATAACACCACTCAACAGAAATATAGAAGACAATACCATACCAACCAACATTACTATAAGGCAATACAACACCAATCAACAGAAATATAGAAAACAATACCACACCAAACAATATAACTATTACGCAACATAACACCACTTACCAGAAATATAGAAGACAATACCATACCAACCAACATTACTATAAGGCAATACAACACCAATCAACAGAAATATAGAAAACAATACCACACCAAACAATATAACTATTACGCAACATAACACCACTTAACAGAAATATAGAAGACAATACCATACCAACCAACATTACTATAAGGCAATACCACACCAAACAATATAACTATTACACAACATAACACCACTCAACAGAAATATAGAAGACAATACCATACCAACCAACATTACTATAAGGCAATACACCACCAATCAACAGAAATATAGAAGACAATACCACACCAAACAATATAACTATTAGGCAACATAACACCACTCAACAGAAATATAGAAGACAATACCATACCAACCAACATTACTATAAGGCAATACACCACCAATCAACAGAAATATAGAAGACAATACCACACCAAACAATATAACTATTAGGCAATGCAACACAAATCAACAATACTATGAGGCAATACAACACAAATCAAAAGAACTTTAAGGCAATAAAACACTAATTAACAGTACTTTACCACTAAAACAACACCAACCAACAGAAATATAAGGCAATATAACACCAATCAACAATAATACGAGGCAATACAACATCAACCAACAGAAATATAAGGCAAAACAACACCAACCAACAGAAATATAAGACAATAACAACACCAACCATCAGAAATATAAGGCAATATAACACCAACCAACAGAAATATAAGGCAAAACAACAATAATCAACAGTACTTTAAGACAATAACAACACCAATCATCAGAAATATAAGGCAAAACAACACCCATCAACAGAAATATAAGGCAATACAACACCAATCAACAAAACTATGAAGCAATACAACACCAATCAGCAGAAATATATTGCAATACAAAAACAACCAACAGAAATACAAGTTAATACAACACCAATCAACAATACTACGAGGCAATACAAAACCAATCAACAGAAATATAAGGCAAAACAACACCAACCAAAAGAACTTTAAGGCAATTAAACACTAATTAACAATACTTTAAGACAATAACAACACCAACCAACTGAAATATAAGCCAATATCACACCAATCAACAGAAATATATTGCAATACAGCAACAACCCACAAAACTATGAAACAATACAACACCAATCAGCAGAAACATATGGCAAGACAACACCAACCTACAGAAATATAAGTTAATACAACACCAATCAACAATACTATGAGGCAATACAACACCATCCAACTATACTACGAGGCAATACTACACCAATCGACAGAAATATAAGGCAAAAAATCACCAATCGAAAGAACTATAAGGCAATGAAACACCAATTAACAGTACTTTAAGGCAATGAAACACTAATTAACAGTACTTTAAGACAATAACAACACCAACCATCAGAAATATAAGGCAAAACAACACCAATCAACAGAAATATAAGGCAAAAAATCACCAATCGAAAGAACTATAAGGCAATGAAACACCAATTAACAGTACTTTAAGATAATAACAACAGCAGACTTTTTCTCTTGCGACGTCAAAATTCTATGGGAACTTGTGTGATGTCCAGTAATAGGGGACAAATAGCGATAATGCGTATTAACCTCTTACTGTGTTGTTATTTGTGACACTGGGTTGCTGTCTCATTGACACATATCCCACATCTCCTTGTCTCACAATTATTTCTCTATTTGCTCCATAAACCTGGAAAAAGTTATTTCTTTCTTACTTAGTTTTTTTATGGTTATATTTCTTTGCTACCTTTTGTGACAGTCAAAAACCTTGATGATCGAATCCGATCGAAAATACCCATTTTGACTTACTGTATTTAACTAATCTAATCCCAATTTTACATGAAATACTTTCCATGGAACATCAACATACATAAAATAATCTAATTCATTTTACCATCAATTTTAATGTGTTTTTTATTATCATACTAGTACAATCACACAAAAAGTTCTGATTTAAAATATCCTTATGTATAAAAATGAACTATTACATCCTAGTCCTTTGGTCTCTAGTGGATTGTTGTTCATTGGCAATCATACCACATCTCCTTATTTTTATATTGAGAAGACTTGTATATATGCATACCTAGTCATGAAAAATCAATAGATACTAAAAATGTCAAAGTAACTGTACCATGAATGAGCGTGTGCAGATTCATATACTTTTCATAATTTATGTTTAGATTTGAGCATTCCCGATGAAATGAAGGTGAATCCAAAAAAGAGCTTCGGACGAACAAAATTTAAAAAGTGTTATTTTCTTTCATGACATTGTGACGTAGTTCATTTGGTTATCATTTAGAAATCAATGACACACAGAAAAACTTTATACCATTTTCCTTTCATGCAGGATATAAGATGATTTCTTTCTTTATCAATAGCGTTATTGCAGTCACAAATATTCATGGTAGTCTGCAAGAATCAAATATAGTATTCTTGCATATGGAAGTATTGTAGTTCTAAGAACAGTTGAGCTAGAAGACTACAAATTGTTATGCAATCTATATTAGTATTTTAAAAATTCTATTAGAGCTTATGCTTAATATCCACAGTTATAAAGCCTTGGTGAATTAATATCTATCTTAACATGTGACAACTATAAAACTGACATTCTCCATCAAATAACAGGACAAACACCTAAAATTATATATTCCTCGTCAGAAATTTAGCCCAATAATGAAAGTTTGCAAATTTGTGGGAGCAATTGGTTGTCCTTTCTTCCTCAGCAGAATTTGAACAGATTCTTCATTAACATTGCGGCAATCCTGTTGGCAATGCGTTTGCTTTCCAGGAACAAATACACAACTTGGCATTGTAAGAAATTTGAATCTTTATAAAGTTTATACATTTGTTAAAAAGTAATGAACAAAAAGAAGTCAATAAACATCATATTATGCAAAATGATTTTTTTTTGTCAGGAATATAACACATCATAATGTCCAGGTCTGTATAATAAAGTAATGGAAGGTTTAGAGTCCTCTGGAAAGACATGCAGATTACATTTACTGCCTTCACTATGATCCATATATAGCACTTGTACTGGTACCCCTAGCGCTTGTGTTAGAGCTGTTATATGTATGTGATCACTCTCTTTTCCCATTGGTTCAACTTCCTAGAAAACAATAAACATGTAAACACTGGATTATATTTGAATAATGTTAAAATTCAGTTCGAAATATGAACAACTTTATATTTATAAGCAGTATAAATATATCATCGAAAATTCATTGTCTGACTAGAAATTGAAAAGAATGAAAGATTACAACAGCAAGCTTTTCTCTACAAGTTTTTATTGTATTTAATTTATTACTGCTATAACTGGGATATTTAATCATCTTGACTTCCTATTAGGGTTTCACATAGTTGGTAATCATTAATTAATTGATTGACATATCAGCTATGTGAATCATGGTTTTGAAGTAACATTAGGTAGAACATCTGGGCCCGATTAACTACACAAATTCTCTATTTTTGGAAGCATGGTGCAAAAGACGAATATTGTCAGATAACTGGTATATGTATACCTTTATATAGTAAGTGTAAGGCCAAACTTAAGGATTATAATTGGCATTTGCTGCTTATCCATTAAGCAGGCAGGATTATTTTCATTCAACATGTTTGGAATTCTTATTTCACATGTTTTCGGGCTTGAAGCTAATTTTTTCGTGTTTTGTGCAAATTGGTAAAAAAGCTGCGTGTAAGCTATTTATTTTTCCTTCATTGCCAGACATCGTTAAATGGCGATTTATTTCCCATTTGTCTGTACAAATACCCGCTGTAGGACCCTTATCTATTAATTATCTTAGAATAAAAACCAGTACTTACATGACCACAAAAATCTTTAACTGTGGCATAACCTTCTATAAAATTAGCATAAAATTCATGTTCCTTTTGTAACAGACCAGACACCACCAACCTGTTGTACATATGACAAAATAAAAGATAAATAGGAGAGTTAGATATTTACAATAAAGAAAATAGCATTCCACTAAAATTATCACACAAAAAGATGAAAGGAAGGTTTCGAAAATAGCAGTTCTTGGAAAGGTACAGGGAAGCAATTGTTCTCCCTTAAAGACAGACGTGTTTCAATGCAAAACAACATTTTTCTCGTTTTTCTTAGTGATAATATATTAAAGATCATTGTACAGCAATATATCAGCAATGATTAATTTCACTGATAATCAAAACCAAATTTCAATACTTAGAAAAATGCATATTTCTTATTGATATGTTCAGTGGGGCCCAAAGCCTTAAACTTTGAACACAGTATTAAAACTATATCATACTGTGTATTGGTTATTAATATATTCATGGGATACCAATTTTCATGGATTGTGGGTAAAAGTAAACCCCAAATTTTAATGTCCAACCAAGTACACATTTTTTATAGGCTTGTATGCAGACTTTGGCAAAACCAGGAAAATCAAATATACACGAAAGTCAATTTTTCCTTAATCCACGAAAATAAGTGAATACACAGTAAACAATGAAAAATTTGAATCTACCAATCAAAGTACCGGTACTGTAAATTCGGAAATTATTGCGAGGTTTTTATTAATGTGAATAATGCGACTGAGTGAGTATTGCAATAATAAGAACTCGCATTGTGGTATCTGAAACATATATCTGTATGCAGATTTTCCTAAAATCGCAATAATAAAACTCGCATTTTTGTCCATTCTTCAACAATCGCAACAATAAATGCACGTGAATTTACAGTACTTTTACAGACTTTTTCCTGAAAGCAAAGATTTTGTTTGTTTTTGTTTAAGTGAGGTGAACAGTCATTTGCAGACCTTTTTCTTCAATCAAAATTACAACTGATGAAGTGCCATTCCTTATTTCAATAATGAAAAGAAAAAAAATGGAAGGAAAAAAAGTCAAGGAAATGTTTTTTAACTGTACCTTAGGTAAACCACCAGATAATCTGAGAGACCTTGGTCATTAAACATGGAAATTAATTCTTCTTGACCAATGGTTTCTAGTTTGCTAACTGCTTCCATAAACTGTATGAAGTAAAGAAAACATTAGATATTAATAAAAGGTCTATAAGAAATTTTAAAAACCTCATAAAAAAGGGGATGTGGTATGATTGCCAATGAGACAACTATCAAACAAATTGACGTGCATTTAAGCAATTTCAGTTCCTTGTATGGCCTTCAACATTGAGCAAAACTCATATTCTATAGTCAGCTATAAAAGGCATCTACTTTACAAAATATAATAAATGGAAAATGTGTCCATGGGACACAGATGATGCCCCTGCTTGCATATAACGTTATAAAGGGGCATAACTTGAGAACGGTAAAAGTGACGCCCTCCAGTGAAGGCGGGGCATAAAAACAATTCAAAGGATAAAACCAATGGCCTGATTCATGACAAAATAATAAACAAATAAAAGAAGAATGTGCTTGAGGAAACGAATGCCCTGCATCAGGTTTTGATTATTTCCAAGTTAAAAAGGCGTATAACTCTAGAACGGTAAATGACTCACTGCCCAAAATTCGAATTCTGGCTGTTTGTTGTGACTCTGAGCATTGTGTATGATTTTCATAAAATTTTGATGAGACAAACTTAAGTAAGAGTGCGGAAACTGAAAAATTTGCAATTATCCAAGTTATAAAGGGACATAGCTCTAGAACGGTTAATGACATACTGCCAAAATTTAAACTCTGTCTGTGTGTTGTGGTCCTTAGTATTGTGTATGAGTTTCACAGAGCTCCATATAAGAATTCACAAATTGGGGTTTTTACCCACCATTTTTTTATGTAATTGGGTGATAAAGTTTTTAAATTGCATTATCAATTCCAATTCACCCCTCAAGCAAATATCAAATTGGGTTTTTCACCACCAAGCTCCTTAATGTATTGGTTTTTTTCATCAACACAATATTGAATGTTTAGGCATGTTATAATCACATTATATCAACCCCATGCAGATGTTTTTCCATCTTAAATGTGTTTCTTTCTTTGTATATATGCTAGCTGTTTTATTTGGTTTATTCACTGACGAGCAATTGTACGTTTAATTTGTGTCCGATTTTAAACGTTCTGCCAGTTTTGTATTTTCTCACAACTTATATAAACTGCAGCTGGTGTCACTAGTTGGACAGTTACTAATTACCTTTCTAGATCCCATATGATCACCCTACAGTTTAGTTGGGGTAGGCGTGGCTAAGTGTTTAGATTTTTATGTAATATATGTGAAATTTAGGTGCTGTAAGAAACTTTTGCCAGTCCTTTCACCTATTTGCCAGATCTACTTTTTAATAAAAATAATAAGTAGTTCCCAGATTTAAGATATACCCCAAAACCTTGACCAGGTTTATAGGTTTAATGACGGAGACCACATTCAACTTAAATTTACAGAGTTAAATTTACAAATAATTCTGCAACATCAAATAAATAAATGACAATGTTAAACTGCACTTGCCAATAAGACAACTATCATAAGCATACAGAACAATAAGACCAAAACAAAGAAAGTATCAAGATGCATTGACGTAAAAAACGGATATGTGTATTCACTCATTAACTAAAATGAAAAAAATAATATATAAACTAAAATTATACTTGAATGTTTTTGTTTAATTTAATTTACATAAATCTGGGTTAAGTTGTCCCAGCTGATTAGAACTTTTGGTTTCTGATGCTTTCCAACTACATATATCATGTCATAATTGATTTGGCCTTTCACTTTTTCCAACTGATTTCATAGGGGGATCCAGGGGCCCCCCTTTCATGGAAAAAATTTTGGTTGATTATATAGGGAATCACTGAAGCATGACTGGAGTGGGCCCCCCCTTAGGTCAGTCAGCGGGCCCCCTTATGAAAAGTTCTGGATCTGCCACTGGATTTCGTTCTTGACAAAACCCCGTGTTTATCGATCTAGCAATGTTCTCGTTAAGGTACGCAAACGGGTCTTGTTATCATCATAATAACTTTCCCTAAAGTATCAAAAAGAATCAACATGCTTCTAATCAATATTTTTATCGGATATTTACTTTCGTTTTAATTCATTGTATGTTATGATAAATCCCGAGCAATTCGAATAAAATATGACAACAAGACAACCGCTAATTGGATAAATGCTGAGAAGATCGAAATGTTTTCATAAACACGTGTACCTTTTGAGCAACGGAAAATTCCAACAGGGACCCATTTCGGCTACTTGATGCAGGGCTCTATATTTAGAACGAAAGGACATTTCCAATTATAAATATTATAAAAATAGATTTACGCGATCGACTGTAATCAGATAAGGGTAAATAACGCAAACGATAGCAAATAAAAGCGTTAAGAACTCATGGTTTTGGCATATAATTGGGTTTTCCTTTGAATGAATTGGGTTTTTGAACCCTGCAATGGGCAATTGCATTGGGTTTTTAATTATTTGTATTGCGTGATCACGCAAATACGCAGCTTATCTGGAGCTCTGGTTTCATAAGATTTGGATGAGGCAAATTTAAGTAAGAGTGCTGAAACTAAAAAAAATTGCAATTTTCTAATTTTTAAAGGGACATAACTCTAGAAAGGTAAGTGAGTGAGCGGAAACAAAAATGGGACGGACAGAAAGACAGACAGATGGATGGTCAAGGGTAACACTTTGCCTATGGCGGGGCATCAAAATAGATATAAGAAACAGCAGCATAGATAAGCAATGAATTACAAGCTCCTCGCTTGGGACAGGCACATACCATACAGAATGTGACTGTGAGCGCTGAATCCTCCCCTTAACCATGGACAATGGTTTGACTCATCAGATCAGCATGTAGCATAAAAAAAAACCCAACTAACATAAGACAAAAGACACAAAGTACTGATCTAAGAGTACTTGCAGTTACTGAAAGCTAGTTAAAAGACACTTACATAAACACCAAAACCAAAACCAAAGTATCAATCAACTTTGTTTTCTTGAGTTGAAATATCAAATCAACAGCTATGGCTACCTGTAAGAACTGAAGCATATTATGACAATGCTTTTACAAATCTTGTGCTCTCTTATTTTTGTTTGAGTTAGTGGTAATATTGCTGGTATAGCTGTACTGTTCAGCTTGTATGTTACATGTTTAACCTTTATGATATAGGTATTATAAAACAAAGGAGTTTTAGAGTGAATAGCAATAAGATATCAAACCTAACACTACAATAAAAAACAGAAAAAAACAGCATGGTCTTTTGGTCACAAGGAGGTTTTAGTTTGATATTGATGCCTTAAACCTTATTTTTTGTCTTCAGAAACTTGCATTCTTATGGCAGAAGCTTTAATTTTACAGAAACTTACATTATTATGGAAGTCTTCTATCGTAAACTGAGGAAAACCAAGGTTGATCAAATCATCTTTTGTTTTATCGCAAACATCATGAAATCTACAATAAAAATTTGAAATAACCAGTGTATAATGTTTGATATCTTTTTATCTTATTTTGTATAGGATAGAAATCCCTCCATACAAGAAATATGTATTACAAGAATTCTTGCATTATTTAGGAAACATGCAAATTGAAACTTATTATTTTCTCCATTTTGTTAAAAAGTCTGTCTTTTTTTCTGCACAAGCTTTAAAAAATTTTACCAAATTTTAACAGATTTGGATTTTTCTTTAAAAAAGGTTAAATTTTTTTTTCTAATATAGTTATTACCAGTCAAAAGTAGAAGTTTACAATTGCCTAATTTTAACTTCAAACTGTTCATCTATATATGTATTATGAAAAAAGCATTGATAATGCAATCAATTTTGAAGTCCTTCCATCATTGTCATATAGGGTAGATGACCTTTAAGCTATTGGTTCCAAGTTTACAAGCTTGGCAGGGAACTATTTCAAGTTGTGTAATGTAAACATGATCACATTAATTTATTTTTGAATTCAATGATTGTACTCAGACACATTTTTAAAATAGTTATACTTGTCCAAAAGTCATGCCATACCAAACCAACCTTTTGTAGTCTGCTTTATCTGACAAGAAATTTTCAAAGCAGGCATAACCATATGCTCGAAAGAAACAGTTTCCATCTGCTCTAGTTTTTCTAACACATTTATATGTTGACTTCATTTCCTAGTGTAAAAAAAAATATTAGACAATTCAAAAAGAACTCAATCCAATACAATAGTTATCTGCCATTACATTCAGGGGATATAAACTGGTGTTTAATTCTGTAGTCAAAATGATTAAGCATACTATTTCGAAACAGCAACATGATGTCAAGGTACAGAAAAGGCACATACCTAATAATTTTCCAATATCCAGTTATCTCCACATCAAATTAATTCTATCCTTTGGGCTAAATTGCTCCCTTTTGAAATTTCATAAAAAATATTTTCCACTTATTGCCTCTTTTTTTCATGATTTTCTTCACAATTCTGAACAGATCTCAATTTTGAAATAAAAAAAACGATTTTTTTCTATTAATAGATTTAAATTTTCAAATAAAACAAGAATGGCAAATTAAAATTGCAATAAACTATCAAACTATATTGTTTCCACAGCATATCATAGTGTTGCCTAAATGACTATGTGTCACTGTATTTGCTGAGAAATATGTGATGCAAATTTATGACATGGACATGTAGTGAAAATATTAATAGGACCATGTTCTCCCAGATATGAAAGAATCTGAGAACTAAAGCCAGAAAGTTAGACGTCATTTTTTGGTTACTGAGTGCCTTTCACAACACCTCAAGGTAAAATATTATTTATTTAATTTTAACAACTTCTATATAACACTTTCTACTTTTTTTGTATAACTGACAGATCCAATAAAATCAATTTAGGCTATTAAGTAATACTTTCTATTAATTTCATCCTGACAAAAAAGTGAAAATAAAACAAATGTAGTTATAAAAATATTAAAAACTTAAATTCATTCAGTCAGTAAATTATTGATTACAATTTTCGAACAACAATGTTATATTTTCAAAATGGAAAAGTTGGGTTTAAATTGTGGGTGAAGTGTCTTTTTTGAAGGTATGAATCTCTAATTTATGGGAGGGAGGAGCCAGTTGAATACACCTTATCATTTTTTAGTCCAATCCGGAAAATCAGTCACTTAGACAACTTTCTGTTTGGGTCATCTGGCGCCAAAACACAGGCCATCAGTAATGAGCTGAGGGAGGAAAAAATTTTGAAAGCGAAAACACTTTGAAACTTTGATAGATTATGATCCACTTTTTCGAGACTCAAATTAAAGTAAAAAAAATATTTTGTTTGAAGTGTTTACGATGGTTTAAACAGATCTCTTTAAAAAGTATTATGCATGAAACATTGTTTAAACAGGGCCCCAGACAGCTTCATCTGGATGAAAAAGTTGTGTAATTTCAGAACTTACCCGGAATGGAATAAATAGCGATATGGTGTATATGTTGTTATATAACAATCATTTATCTACCTCAATTTTTCTAACAAAAACTTGATCTTCACCAGCAGAATATTCTTTTATAATTTGATCAAGCCCAATTCTGTCACTGATCAAAGGCTGTGCATCAGCTATCTACAAAACATTTAATAAAAACTTAAACACACATTAACTCCTATATTCATGAATTAAAAAAATGTCAAATGTTTAAATCAAAATGTCTCACTGTCCATTCATTACTGCAACATGTTCCTCAAAATGTCTTTTATGTCATTTGTAAATACTATAACAGCGATTATCAAATTTCAGTTTAACTTGTATTGACATGATTTCTTGTTTAAGTAGCAGAATTACAAATATTCACAACACCCCCCCCCCCCCCCCCCACCCCAACCTCTTCTGCTTTGATGGTTTTTGGTATATTTACTGTCAAGTGCTTTGGTCTTAAGTATAACTTTGATGAGGGTTCAGACAGCAATCATGACATATTGGAAACAACAAAAACCAACAATTTAAATGATTTCAGTGTAACAGAACAATCTATTTGGATGTACATCAAGATTAATCCTTGAGAAGACATGTTTGACTTGAAAGTGTTGTATGAATATCATTTCTCTAGGCATGAATATTGAATTAGATTCAAGGAATTAAATGACATTTTTCTATGGGATTTTTTTTGTTTTTATCCATAGTGACTAATGAGGCTGAATAACAGTATATATCTTATGTTCACAAAGAACAGATAATATAAAATATGAAAGTACTTGTGAAACAAACCAAATTATTGTAGATGTTTGTATTGATGTTTCTCCTTTTCCATTATCTGTCCAGGTCTAGTCATAACTTTTATCACTTTATTTAAAATTTAAATGATTTCTTGGCTTTATTTTTTTCTTTATTATTTCATTTGTCCATTGTTGAAGATATCTGTTCTGTCATTATCTCATTATTGTCCATTGTTGAAGGTCTATGTTGACTTCTAGATACTCTTTGGGTTGCTGTTTTATTGATGTATACCACACATCTCATTTTATTCATATACAGTATGCTTTACTTTGAATTATTGCTTTCATTTATCATCTTGAAAATCACTGAAAGGCTGTCAAGGATTGACCCCAAAAACTACATTACAAATGACCTATTTAATACAATACACCAAAAACTTGTCTATTGGCATTCCACTATCTTTTGATGTTTATGTGAATATCAAGTGTTGAATACTCCATACCAATAATATGATGAAAATGTCATTCACTTTCCTACAATAAATTCAATACAATAACTTACATCTTTTTCTATCTGTCTTTGTTGCTCAAGAGTAGCTTCATCATAATTCAATTCTGTAATTAAAAATTTGTAGTTACACATTTAGGATTATATGTAAACAATTCTAAAAGCTTATACAGCAACCATGCATTTTTAAAGCCTAGAAAAAGTTATGTTGTGTTTCAAGTTACAAAACTTATATTTAATCAGAAGCACCATAAGTATATGTAATAAAACAAAAATGCCAACATGTTCAAGGCATACATTAGTACCAACGTATTGTGTAAATATTGAATATAATCAAAACCTAATTTTTTTAGAAAGTTACTGTAGCAATTATTGCGAGGTTTTTATGAATGTAAATACAGTTTGACTCTGGGGCCTACATTGTTTTGAAATCCTTGGAAATACAAGCCAGAGCTGATTAAATATTGTTTTAAGATTTTGGACATGTTGGTTGATTGATTTATTGTTGGTTGCCTAACATCCAGTGGCAAATATTGCATGCATGTTTAGGACAAAAACAATTTAACAATAGGTAGGTCCTATTAGGGCGAAAGGATACCAAAGGAACAGTGTAATAGAGGCCATCTGGGATGAATGAAGGGGAAATCTGGATTGCCACTGGATAATGACGAGGCTGCATTTAACTCAGCTGCTGTGAACTTGTACATCCTGCACAGCCAAACAGACCACTGACTTCAGCAAAGGTTTTAATGCCCAGCTGATGAAAACCTAAGTGACCATAATTTGTTTCCCCAGTCACCCTTGGGGGTTTAAACATGTTGAAGAGTCAACTATTATATTTTATTAGCATTTTACATTGGTCTACATTGTCATAATTGTGGTACTAAGTGAGCTTGCCTGAGTGGGTTTAATATCCAGAGGGACAAAAAACAAAAAGCAGGTTTAATCATATTCATTTTCATGTATTCAATGTCATTCCAACTGTAAATATACATATTTCAACTCCAAAAAGAGTTGATTTAGGTGAGTGTACATGTACTATATCTATACATGTATATAAATCTGGAAAAAACCTTTTACAATATGGCAGTGAAACTTTCTTTAAAGTGATCTAGTGTGAGAATACACCTTATTGCTATATATTTAGTCCATTCCCTAAAAAACAGTCATTTAGACAACTTCCTGTTTGGGTCAAGTGTCACAAAAAAAAAGGTCATCAGTAATGAGCTGAGAGAGGAAAAGTTAAGAAAGTGAACATTTTGAAATTGTGATACTTTATGGTTCAATTTGTTAAAAACAAACTAAAGTCTTAAAAATGATTTGTTTTAAGTGTTTATGATAGTTTAAGTAAACATGTCTCTTTGAAAATTTTTATGCACAATACATTGTTTAATGGACCCAAGATAGCTTAAACTGGATTGTGACGTTATGAAAAAGCTGTTTAATTGCAGAACTTATCCTGATTGGATTTAATAGTGATAAGGTGTATGCAAGAAGTGTTTAGAAATCAAAAAAATGTATAATTGACTGACAATTAATAAAACAAACATGCAAATTCCACTTTTTAAAAAACCAATAACCATCAGGATCTTATCAAGAAGCACAGGTTTCAAATTACAATTAATGGAAGAAAGGTAAATTTTGGTCTACAGTGGATACAGCTATCATGTGTAAAAAGCTTCAACCACATGGCAGAAAACTTCTTTCCAGATATTTGTTCCTTTTTGTAAAACGTCATAAAGGAGCATATGATTTCTCGCAATTTCTTACATGAGGAGCATAAGATATGTGAATTCAGTGTTTTATCTGATTACAGAAAAGTAATCTTATAATCTAAGGAACAAACCAAGAAGTACCAAGAGAACTGTTGTGACTTTAGGATCAGGATTAGGAACCTTCAGGAGCTCACAGGGCTGTCAAGTTTTCATGAAGCAAATGCGTGAGATTTGGCAAAAAATGAAAAGACCAAAGAGAAAAATAAAAATAAAAAAATCAAAGGAAAATGTAGCCAAATAAGCATGAAAATGATTGATTGATGTTTAACGCCACTTTCAACATTTTTGTGCTATTTGGTGGTGGTCAGTTTTTATTGGTGGAGGAAGGCGGGAGTGCCTGGAGAGAACCACTGACCTTCGGAAGGGAAACTGACAATCCTAGACTTAAAATTGGAGTCGAGTGCACCTACTCCATGCAGGATTCAAACTCACAACCACAGTGTTGACTGGCTAGTGATACAGTAGTTCAACTACTTAGACCACTTGGCAACCGAGGCCCCTAGCATGAAAATGTGTGAGTCTCGCCCACATTGCGTGCGAGTCTCGCCCACATTGCGTCCGAGTCTCGCCAACATTTGGTGAGACTTGCCAGCACTTCATTGAAATTCCTAAGGTGAACTCGATTTTGAAAAATTGATAGTTACAACGATCATTCAGGATGTGAATAGGATAATTTTTCTTTTTTATGGTACAAATATTTTGAGAGTCCATGGCCAAATCACCATGTTTCATTTCATGATGCATTGTACAAACAAACATTAAATTGACTTGGAACTAAATAATGGACCTGGATCAAACTGAAAGTCGTCTGCCATAATTATTTCTTGCGGTGGAATCGTATTTTCTTGATTTTGAGCTAACCGGAAGTTGATATATTTTTGTTCTTAGTCAACGAAGTACTTGGAAAACCTCAACTTTACTTCAGTTGAAAACACAGCAGAGATTCGGCCCAAAAATTTGGCCTTCACCTTGCTAAACAGCAGACGATTTTTGAAAGAAAGTGCACTAAGAAATGAATGATGCCAGGTATTGAAAAAAAAACAAAGATTTCACAGTATCGTTTTCCGCCAAAGGAAAACAAATTAAGACATATTCGGAATTGCTTTATTCAGAAATGTATAGACTCAGAAATAACTCTAAAACATGACATATCCGACAGACAATTACTTGGGCGTGTTTTTAAAACTTTTTTTGTTCTTCGGTAGTGAGCCAGAAGTCTCTGAGAAGAGGTCCATTTCTGTTTTTATTTGCATTGGGAAGATCTTCTGGCTCTCTTGGTGCGTGTTTTTTTGTTCTTCGGTAGTGAGCCAGAAGAGGTCCATTTCTGTTTTTTTGCATTGCCATTGGGAAGATCTTCTGGCTCTCTTCTATCTCTTCCTTTTCAATAGGTAGTTTAGACAGCAGAGGCATATTACAAACATGGCGTCGCTTATTCTAAATAGCATTAATAAATTTATGAATGCAGATTTAATCGAATGTGAGCTGTGTGATAAATGTTTTTATGGTATGGCAGCCTTATTAATATTAGGACATCCCAGTAGGGACGATAAGCTGAGTTAATATAAGAACTACACAGACAGCAACAGTAGGGGGACGACTTTTTGATATTCTGGGGAGGGGGAGGGGCAGGAGGATTTTTTGCGGATTTATTATTCATTTTAATCTGGCGATAATCATTCCTTTTTTAAAACTCTTATGAGGCCACCATATTCATATTTAAAATCCTCCTGTCCCCCAAGATCCTCCTGTCCCCCAAGACATCATAAAAATAAAAATAAATATCAAATGGATTTCCCCTTATATAACACAAGTTTAAATTGATTGATTGTTGGTTGCTTATTTTTAACTTCCAGTGACAATTATTTCATGCATGTTCAGGAAAACACAAGTTTAAGGTCAGGTATGTAATATGATGATATTAGGAGATGTGGTATGATTTTCAATTAGGCAACTATCCACCGGAGTTCAAATGAAGGAGGCAACCGTATGGCCTTCAACAATGACAAAAACCCATACCGAATAGCCTGCTATAAAAAACCCAGACATAAAAAATGTGAAACAAACGAAAAAAAACTAACGGCTTAATTATATATAACAAAAAAATTTTCAAACAATAATGTGTCCATAGTACACGGATGCCCCACTTGCACTATCATTTTCTATGTTCAGTGGACCGTGAAATTGGGGGGTCAAAACTCTAATTTGGCATTTAAATTAGAAAGATCATATCATAGGGAACATGTGTACTAAGTTTCAAGTTGATTGGACTTCAACTTCATCACAAACTACATTGACCAAAAACTTTAACCTGAAGCGGGACAGACGGACAAACGAATGGAAGGATGGACGGACTAACGAACGAACGCACAGACTGAAAAACATAATGCCCCTAAGTGGGGCATAAAAATCAAATATGAGTCGACAGTCATGAACCAACTACAACTACTATACTTCAGGCTCTTGCCTCGGGACAGGCACTTAAAGAATACGACAGTGCTAAACATGTTTCTGAGCACTCAACCCTCCCTAAACTTGGACAGTGGTGTAACTGTATAACATAAGAACAAACTGTAAAAAGAAGTTGCAATTAGATTAACTCAAAAGATCGGTATGAGACACACAAAAAAAAACAACTATCATTAAGACAATATACACAAAGCACAGAAATAAGAGTATTTGCAGTTATTGAAAGTTAGTTCAAAGCTATCACTGAAATAAATCATGTCCTTCCAGACTAAAGTATCAACTAGTACACAACCAACAGATTTAGTCATAAACAGTCTGAGAAACGCAATTACCTTGTATATATATTAGGGATGTCAACGAGTACTCGAGTATTCGAGTATCGCTCGGTAGTACCGAGTATCGAATACCAAAACGATACTCGACTAATCGGTTTCCTGAATATTGCTGTCTTCATTTTTATAAAATTGATCTTCATGAGAACCTATTTTGGAAAATTAAATAAGCATCACTGAATAATCATACTAATAAATAAAATACATTTTGTTTCGATTGCTTGTGTTAAATTATCATTTAAAATGCCTCTGAAAATAGGTGGGCTATACCTAGGATAACAGTTTAAACTTAACATGTCTTAGCCATTCCGTCACATCGCTACCGTCAGAGAAAATATTTTCGTCTGCAAGACTGTAATTTACAAAGTTGCAAAACCGACTGTCCCCAATAATAGTTGACAAAAAAATATTTCCAAATAAAATAAATTCGTTGCATCCTCTGGTGACCCTCGGTGAATAGTTAAACTTCTAATCCTTACGCCTTAGTAAGCATTAAATGTGTTTTCTTAACGATTACCAAATACTATTGTTTGATATGGTTTTTCCTTGTTATGATTTTTAAATAGGTGCTCATTAAATTATATTGATTAGATTATTGTTTTTTTACTTAATTAGTACTTGTAGGTAATGAGCTATTAATCATGATGTGTAATTTCTTGTCCCAGATACTTATATTTGATGTACAATTAATTGTACTTGATACCTATAAGCTGTATTGCTTTTGGAATAAAGAATATATAAATGCGTTTTGTTAAAATATACTTTTTCACTTTTTTGGTCTTTTGGAAAATGTTGTTTGTGCTGTATTTAGACCCCCCTAACAAGAAATGTGTTTTGCATGCACACGTATAAAAATTGCGGTTTTTATCCAACGCAATCATAGGATTGAACGTTGTTTTCAATTTAGACTTGTTTATATTTTTTCGTTTGGGCTTGTATTATATGTGCCTTCGGGTTTATATGATCCGTTCATCCTATTTTGACTCCTCAAAATTCAAGAGTCTATCCTAAATTGAGGTAATTTGTAAGGCTTTCCAACTACCGTTTCGATTCCTAACATCACTGAAGAGACATTAATTGTCGAAATCCAGATATGGTGTACAAAAACCTTTGCACCTTTTGTTTGCGGTATATCATCTTTTCCGCAAGTTTATTGTTTTCTGTTTAGTATTAAATTTATAATTAAGATCCATTTATAACATCGGTGATCCGTTTATTTGGCAATAGCCAATGGCAGTCAGTAGGGTTTAAGAACATTTGTTGTTCGACCTGTTAGTCAAATGCGTTTTGTTAAAATAAAATACAATTTACCTCAATTTAGGATAGACTCTTGAATTTTGAGGAGTCAAAATAGGATGAACGGATCATATAAACCCGAAGGCACATATAATACAAGCCCAAACGAAAAATATAAACAAGTCTAAATTGAAAACAACGTTCAATCCTATGATTGCGTTGGATAAAAACCGCAATTATATATGTGTGCATGCAAAACAAATTTCTTGTTAGAGGGTTCTAAATACAGGCAAATATAATACAACCCCAAACGAAAAAATATAAACAAGTCTAAATTGAAAACAACGTTCAAACCAAGGATCCGGAAATTTTTCCACACAATTTCGGTCATTTTGAGATGATTGAAAAGTTGGTGCCCCTTTCCAAATTGTCGATGTCAACTTGACTAGATTCATACTCATAGCATCAACGAACTTGTATTGCTGTTTCTTAGTTTCATCGCATTTACTAAGTAAATGTCTTACCATTACCAAGAAGAACAGTTTAGGGAAGGCAATAGTTTAAAATTGAAATGATTTTAATGACTCAAAATGTTAAATCTCTCAGACATTGCTTACGGTTACCGTTTCTTTCGATTTGACAAAAGTTAAAACCGGAAGTTTGCGATAAAGTTAAAGTACGAATAATTCCGGATTCATTTCCAGGATTTGTTTTTTGTTTGTCAAATTGACAGGAAATCAATGGCTTTTTATGGCTTTTTTTATTTTATTACCTTTTAAAGTGTTTGAATGTAACAGACAATAGTTGCACTCGTTTATTTAAATTAGCATGAAATCAATTTGCATTTTACGATTAAATATTAAATTTGCTGAAGACAATTTCACGCATGCGTATTATATAGTAAATAAAGCACATGAAAAAATACTTTCTCCGTAAATTTAGGTTTAATTTTTAAATCAGATTTGATAATTGTCTTTGCTGAAAAGTAATTAAATAATGAATACACTTATCAGGGAATTTCAATTTTTGCTAAGATATTATTCGGAGCTTGTGATCACGGTCAGCTGTGAATTAAAACCACAGGTAAAAAGTGATTAGCGATCATTAGCCAATGTTTCCCGGAGGCATTGGTATAGATATTAGGAGGGCCCTCAGGATTATCAAACTACTGGAGTGGCAGTTTTATTACAGGAAAGGGATTATAAACAAAAACAAGTGATCACAACTTACACAAAACAGTGCAAACATTGAGTCAATGAAATGACCGAAATTACTTCTTTAAAAAAATAAAATTTGTCCTAAATCCAAATTATTCGTTTAGGACAAATAGTATCATCTTAGGACATGACTGGCATATATGACCGTTTCCGGACCCTTGGTTCAAACCTATGATTGCGTTGGATAAAAACCGCAATTTTTATACGTGTGCATGCAAAACAAATTTCTTGTTAGAGGGGTCTAAATACAGCACAAACAACATTTTCCAAAAGACCAAAAAAGTGAAAAAGTATATTTTAACAAAACGCATTTGACTAACAGGTCGAACAACAAATGTTCTTAAACCCAGGTGACTGCCATTGGCGATTGCCAAATAAACGGATCACTGATGTAATAAATGGATCTTAATTAAAAATTTAATACTTAACAGAAAACAATAAACTTGAGGAAAAGATGATATACCGCAAACAAAAGGTGCAAAGGTTTTTGTACACCATATCCGGATTTCGACAATTTATGTCTCTTCAATGAAGTTAGGATTCGAAACGGTATTTGGAAAGCCATACAATTTACCTCAATTTAGAATAGACTCTTGAATTTTGAGGAGTCAAAATAGGATGAACGGATCATATAAACCCGAAGGCAAATATAATACAAGCCCAAACATAAAAATATAAACAAGTCTAAATTGAAAACAACGTTTAAACCTATGATTGCGTTGGATAAAAACCGCAATTTTTATTCGTGTGCATGCAAAACAAATTTCTTGTTAGAGGGGTCTAAATACAGCACAAACAACATTTTCCAAAAGACCAAAAAAGTGAAAAAGTATATTTTAACAAAACGCATGTGACTAACAGGTCAAACAACAAATGTTCTTAAACCCTGCTGACTGCCATTGGCGATTGCCAAATAAATGGATCACCGATGTAATAAATGGATCTTAATTAAAAATTTAATACTAAACAGAAAACAATAAACTTGCGGAAAAGATGATATACCGCAAACAAAAGGTGCAAAGGATATATACATAATTATGTAGATGGTTTGTCGTCCGTTGAACAACAAACCATAGAATGTAAAATACATGTCTCTGTGTTGTAGATATTTTCCCGAGCGAGTACTCGAGTATCGCTCGATAAAACCAACGAGTACTCGATTAGTAATTGTTAACCGAGTTGACATCCCTAATATATATACCTTGTATACCTAAGTGTATACATGTACGTGCATATACAATTAAGGTTTTTGAAAAGTGGTGGTCCGAATGTATTGAACATCAAAATTTTGCAATTTAAATAATAGTTAGGACCAGTAGATATTCTTCAAGGACCACCAGGGAAAAAAGATTTTGAGAACTCTGCGATGTCTTTGCTTTATAAAAAAATAATCCAGTTTGGTTACTTTAAAAAAATATTGATAGACACGATATCCTATTTCGATCATATACCAGACAAACATTGACAAATTCTTGTACAGTTTAAGATTATTCCAGATATAAATGGTCAGGGCTTTAATCCAAATTTGTTTAGCAAAATTGAGTTATGAAAGTATTAAGAAAAAATATCATGAACACAGCGATTTCTTCCAACCAATTTTCTTTGTTTGTCAGACACTTATTATATAATTACATCAATATGCCAAAACAGCACAATATTAATGTTACAGTAATTTAAAAAAAAAATAAAATGTGATATGATTGCCAATGAGACAACTCTCCACTTAATGACACAGAAATTAATTAATAAGTATAGGTCATCATACAGCCTTCAACAATGAGCAAAGCCCATACCGCATAGTCAGCTATAAAAGGCCCAGAAATGACAAATATAAAACGAACGAGAAAACTAACGGCTAATTCATGTACAAAATAATGAACAAAAAACAAATATGTTACACAGCATCAAACGACAACCAATGTCTACCGAATCGAAACAGTTCAACTGACTTATATTTATTTTCTAATAAACAGAATATCTCCAGAAGAGGTCCATATTCATTTTTTTGGACTCTTCATCACCAGAAGACATTCTGGAGATGTACAGAAGAGACCAATAAAACATGCTCTTGTACCTCTTCTTTTTAAACAGGCACATAACAAACATGGCGTCGCTTAGTCTTAATGACATTTATAAATTTATGAATGTAGATTATAATGTGAGCAGTGTGATAAACGTTTTTATGGTACGACATCACTGTAGGGACAATAAGCTGGATAAATATAAGAATATATGGACATTAACAGTAAGGGGACACTTATTTGATATTCTGGGGAGGAGGAGGGGGACAGATGGATTTTTTTTGCAAATTTATTATTCATTTTAATCTGTCGCTAATCATTATAGAAATAAGGAGATGGTATGATTGCCAATGAGACAACTATCCACCAAAGTTCAAATGAAGTGGATGCCTATTTTTTCAGCTCTTACAAGGCCACCAGGTTCATATTTAAAAAACTAACGGCCTAATTATATATAACAATTAACTGTTTTTGTGTGTGCAAAAAATCAAATATAAGTTGACATTCATGAACCAACGACAACCACTGAACTATAGTCTCCTGATTTGGGGCAGGCACATAGACTTGGACAGTGGTGTAACAGTACAACTTATGAACAAACTGTAAAAATCAGTTGCAATTAGATTAACTCTAAAGATCGGTATGAGACACTAATAAAAAACAACTAACATTTAGATAATAGACACAAATCACCCAAATAAGAGTATTTGCAGTTATTGAAAGTTTGTTCAAAGCTAATTACACTAAGACTGAAATAAATCTTGTTCTTTCGGAATCAAGTATCAATTAGTACACAACCAACATATTTAGTTATAAACTGTTTGAGAAACGCCATGACCTTGTATACTTTATATACAAGCACCTACAATTCAGGTTTTCGAAAAGTGGTGGTCTGAAGGTTTTGGCCATAGAAATTTTGCAATAGAAATAACTAGCAGAGTTTCTTCAAGGACCACCAGGGAAAAAAGATTTTGAGAACTCTGCGATATCTTTGCTTTAAACAAAAATAATCCAGTTTGGTTACTTAAAAAATTGATAGACAAGATGTCCTTTTCGATCATATACCAGACAAACATCGACAAATTATTGTGCAGTTTAAGATTATTCCTGTAAATAAAATGGTCTGGGCTTTAAGTTTGATATGTTAGCAAAATTGAGTTAGGAAAGCATACAGAAACAAGAATGTGTCCATAGTACACGGATGCCCCACTTGCACTATCATTTTCTATGTTCAGTGGACCGTGAAATTGGGGTCAAAACTCTAATTTGGCTTTGAAATTAGAAAGATCATATCATAGGGAACATGTGTACTAAGTTTCAAGTTGATTGGACTTCAACGTCATCAAAAACTACCTTGACCAAAAACTTTAACCTGAAGCAGGACAGACGGACGAATGGCATTCTTTTATTATATTTATAACAAACACTATAGGGGTTGCTTATTATATTTATAACAAATACTATAGGGGTTGCTTATTATATTGATAACAAACACAATAGGGGTTGCTTATATTTATAACAAACACTATAGGGATTGCTATTATATTTATAACAAACACCAGTATAGGGGTTGCAATTATAATCAATTATGTCATATATCATGTATATATGCATCACAGCTGAGGAAAACACTGAGTGAGTATATATCTTTCTGGAACATATATTTTTTAGGGAAGAGAGTCCCCAAAATTATACGGTTGATTCGTCAAGCAAAAGGATTGAATGCCGATCCAGATGATGATTCACTGCTTGATAAACTGACTCCTCATGTTCCTGGCATAGTTACCTTTGCTGATCACAACAGGAAGCTACCATGGTCTACGGAGTATTCAACTGTTCTTGTGTTTGCAGATGTTTCAGGTAACCTATTGCTCCATCATATGTTTAGAAACTTATTGTGCATTGAATTGATTAGAATTACTTCTGATGGTCTGCATTTTTTGTTCATTTCAAGCATCAATATTTGACAAAAATGCATCAATATGACTATACAAGAATGCTGAGTTAGCATGATTGAATTCTGCCAAATATACATGTATCTGACTCTTAGGTGTTGAAAACTTTAATTTTACAAAACAATGTGTTTAGCTACATGTATAAGTGCTTGCTTTTGCTGTTTTTATTTATTTTCTGCTATGCATTTAATACTTTTCTTATTTCAACTACAGAAGACTTTGTCAGACATTAGGACTGACAAGCACAACATTAATATTTGCTTACCCCTAAAAAAAGACACATGAAAGTGTTGTCGTTATTTTAAAGATCAAAGTTATGAGCAATTTGATAAAAAAAAACAGATTTCTCACTCTTATTATGAATCAGTGAATGTGTGGATGCACAACACAAAAAAAAAAAAAAAAAAATAGCAGAGCAGAGTGGTTTTTATAGTTTGAGTTAAAAGCATGTCATGGTTATGTATATAGCACTTACATTATTTGCTTGCTGAACTAATGATAAAGCTTATGGAATAATTCTTTGAATTCTGGTTTTTAGAAGAAATAGCATCATAAAGACACACTGCATTCATTTGCTTTTGTAGTTCTACATTTTTCTTTAATTAGCGATATCAAATTATGAAATAAATATTTCAGAAGGTAATATCCAAAGAGGACCTATATAACATAAAGGGTAGACTTTGGATACATCTTGCAGAACTCAATGCTCACTTTCAAGTCCCATGATAAATGGGAAAATACATTTGTATTTGAAAGAATGAAACATTAAGGATTTGATCTGATATTTGTAGTTCAGATAGAACTTTTTGATATGTAGGGGTCATTGACTGACATATCAACAACCAATTTGAATCTGTTTATTAAAATCTAATGAAATTATACTTTTTACTAGTAACAGTTTTGCATGTTATTACATAATGAAAGAATGATTACAATTTCAGGATTTACTGCACTTTGTGAACGTTACAGTGCAATGCAGGATTCTGGTATTGATAAACTGACAAAAACATTGAATGGTTACCTTGGTGCCATAGTAGAAAATCTCTTGTCATCTGAAGGGGATGTTCTTAAATTTGCAGGTAATTATAAATGGCATCTTTCTATCAATCACAAGAGTTTGTAAATGTGAAATATTCTAGTTTTCATTGAAATGGAAATACATTTATGCTTGTATTTTCTTTGTCCCTTCAATGTTTTTTTATTTATTTTAAAGGTCAAAGTTCTTAGTATTTTCTGTACTGATCTGATTTACTGCATATTTATCCAATTCAGTCAGTCCTTAGGTAGACATACTTCAGTACCATAGCAACCTTTGGGTCTAAAAAATTTGAGAAGTACCTAGTTTTTTTACAATACTTTGTTGAAATTTTGGATAATTGACCAGACTTGAGGGGGAGTTCAAAAGCAAATGGCTATGGGACTAGTGGGATTACTATGGTACCTATCTGAAATTTAACTGAAAAGGCTTGTGTCTTTGTAAAAAAGCCAGGAGTCGGTTTCACAAAAAACTGACTAAGATTGATGTAAGTATACTGAATTGTTTATGACTTATGATCAATTTTATTCATAAGTTTTTTTGTAAAACCGACTCCAGATCTTTAACTTCTCATAACAGTTATAAGGTTATTCCCTTAAAATGAATATGGTACCAAGGGGAAGCACTTTTAAAATTGGGTATTACTATAGAGGCAATTTTTTTTGTTTTCAGGTGATGCCATTTTGGCTGTGTGGAGAGTGAATAGTGAGACAGAAATGACACCTATTTTAGAAAAAGTTATTGCATGTTGTTTAGCCATCCAGAAAGAATATGGAGAATGGCAAACTGATATTGGAATAACTCTTACTGTTAAAATGGGTATGATAGACTGCAAAGGAGTTTTTATGCCCCTGTTGTCAACGGAGGGGCATTAAGTGTTACCCTTGTCCGTCTGTACGTCCCAAAATTGGTTTCCGTTCTCTAACTTTAGTTTGTCTCAACCAAATGTTATGAAACTTATACATAATGCTTATTACCACAGAAAAAAAAACAGATCAAGTTCGAATTTGAATGGCTTCTCTTTTACCATTCTCAAGTTATGCCCCTTTATAATGTTATATGCAAGCCGTGCCATCATCTGTGTCCCATGGACACATTCTCCATTTATTTATATTATGTATATAAAAAGGGCACGACCCAATCACCAACTTGACCTATACTTACTATTAAAAAACTGTCTGAATATCAAAATCCTTAGAAAAGCCATTGATAGTTGACTGGTGAAAATTTAAAACATGAAATATTTTGGTGTGTTTAAAATAGCTATCAAACAACAATCATAAAAGAATAAGAACATGTAGTATGATTGCAAATGACAGAACTATCCACAAGTGACGAAATGACATAGATGCAAGCAACTTTAGGTCATCGAACAGCCTCATATAAAAAAATAATGTTACCATTCCTATAATAAATATTATTTCACAGAAGTGTTAATCCCTTTCATTCTGAACTATGCCTTGGGGCATCGCCTGGCATGTGCTCAATGCGATAATGGGTTAGAGATAGGGGTATTTACTCCTTTCCTTAATGAAAAATATGGCTCATCACATTTATTGAACAGATTCAAAGTTTTGAAACTCTTTTTTTCCAGGTATTTCCACAGGACCCATGAAAGTCACTTTTCTTGGTAATAATGAATTTAGAGTTTATGTTGAGACCGGTAAAGCAGTGTCAGATGTAAATGTTGCTGAGAGTTTCTGTCAATCAGGATTTGTTGTAGTATCACCAGATGCATGGAGCCTTTGTACACAAGAGAAATATGAAACTGAAGTATTACATGACGAGAAGCATATACATGTGAGTATTGTGTGTACTGTGGATTTATTTACTTTCATTGCTACCAATTTTCATGGATTGAAGAAAAGTTGTGTTTTATGTTGATACTTGGTTTCAAGCTTTAAACAAATTCTGCATACCACTGTCAGGGAAATTTGTATAATGTTAAACACCATAGTTCACAAATACCTGCTATATCCATGGTATTTGGAATCCCATGAATAATTATGAAAACTACAGTATTAAAAATCTTGCTGAAATACTACTTGAACAATTGTTACTTCTTGTAACAGTTTGTCATAAGATATCTCTTCTCAGACAGATTCACAAAATGCATTATGGATGTAGTTAGAATTTAAAATTGAAACTTTAAGTCAGAAGAGCATTAGTTAAGGAAAAAAATAAGCTAAGAATATTGATAGGTTATTGAACTCCTTTTTGAGGTATTTGATTTTTAAAAAATAGTTGGAAAAGGCTGATTCAGGCTTATACCTTATATTTAGCATTGGCATTATTTGTGTCTCAAATCGTAAAATGTAGAATCTGCTTAAATTTTGGTAATGATCTTTTTATAAGCTATGGAAGTCTTCTATGAAAAGAAAAGTTGGTGATATGGGGCAAAATATTTTAGCCTGTATCGTAGGAATCAACCCAAGGGGTGCGAACATCTGACAAAAATTCCTAAACCTGACCTGACTACATCCTTATGGTTAAAAAAAGAGATCGATAATACATTTTGTTTCAGTCCCTAGGTTTTTTTTTTCTGGGCATTTTTAGATGAGCACTGTTAAGTGAAGGATTTTCAAAATAAAAAAAAGATGTAAAGTCTGTTTAAAAGTTGATCATGGTTGGGAGGGGATTGTAGGCAATAAAATTAACTAATATTAATTGTGGGATTTTCCTTTAATAGAAATTTTACCCACAATAAAAAAAATCATTATGTACCCTCAACCTTTACTATTATTTTACTTAAACTCCTTACTATTTGAATAGATGATTTGCCTTGTAATTGACACTTGATGTAATTATAAACTTTTAAACTTAAAAATATAGATTCCACCACTGCAACAAGTGTGTTACGATTGAGACAGTTAGATTTTAATTATTAAAGCGTGAGGCTTTCCGAGCCTTTTAAATAACTAAAATTTAACTGTTGAGAGAGGAGAAATATCATAATACACGAGTTATAGTGGTGAAATCTGTTTCTCTTATGATTTTTATCTTCCTTTTCAAAGATTTGCAGAAAGTTGTGTTCTTTATATGTGATGTCATTAGGCATGGTCGCCTTTTTTCGTGACGTCACAATAGAAAATTCAGAAGAAACCAAGAAAAATTTGACGTCATAATTAAATTTCTACCAATCATTTGCTGGGAATAGTTATTTCACTAGTAAGGAGAATGATTTTTTCACAATCGGTTGGGAAATGTGAAAATAGTGAGAAAATTAGAGAAAAGCAGATTCTTAAAGACTAATCAGCAAAGAGAAACAAAATTATGCAATCATCTCTAGTATGGTTTAATATTAAAAAAAATTGATTAGGTTATCTTTTATATGAAATATAAGGTTGCCTATAATTGCTTACATCCACTTCATTTGAACTTTGGTGTATAGTTGTCTCATTGGCAATCATACCACATCTCCTTATTTTTATATTCATAATTCATGCAAATTTTTTTTCCAGATTTTATCAGAGAAAATTTTACCAGCAATTGGAACAGGTAAATTTAAAAATAAATTGTGTTTCTACATAAAAAAATCATTTAAATTCAAAATACTGAAAGATTTAACTTCTCAAAAACAGATTGAACTGTGACTGTAATGATATATACAAGTTGTTTCAGATTTATAATTATTTTAATTTTTGTCTTCAGGGAAGAAGCAATTTCGAAAAGTGGGACATGCAGCAATGTTTACATCTAAGTTAACATTTTCGTCAACAGAACCAACAATGTCTCCAGTGGACACTGAATCAAATGCTTTAGTTCCACCAGATCTGGCACCTGAACCAACTCCGTCTAAATCATCAAAACTTTCTAAATGTATGTATGTTAAAATAAGTATCTGAATGTGTATAAAAACGAATTTATGATTATGTGGTGTATGCATGAAGTTAAAAAATGTGAAATTTAATATTTGGTTCTTTGAAACTTATACAGATATATATTTTCGTGAATTAAGGTTGCAACTGCCATTTTTTAAGTTGTTTTTTTTTCATTGCAAGTTTTAAAATATATATCTGCAATCCTGTACTACATTGCAGTGCGTGGTATTGTCAAAACTGTTACTGATATGAAACTTGATGAAGCATTACGACTTTTCATTCTTCCACCTGTGTTAAGGAAGGTACAGACAGAACATTTAATGTTTCTTACCAGTTGCATTTATTTTTGACTAATTTTCAGTTTGAATGGTTACTGTTATTAGATTTAATTGTTAAATGGAGTTTTGTTGATTTGAGATGGAATTTGTTTTTATATGTATTGTTTATTTTTTAAAATAATGTTTGATTAATTTATGATTATGTGTTCCTCCTTTTCGAAGGAAGACATTTTTTTTACCTGTCCATCTATCAGTCTGATTGCTTGACAGTTTATATGACTCTATCTCTCTTTGTTTCTGTAATGATAGGCTCAACAAACCAAGTTTGTAGAAGAATCAGCCTGTCTGTCTGTCCCTCTGTCTGCCTGTTTGTCCAGGTCAACTTCTTTTGAATCCTTTTTTGATTCATTTCAAATTCTGTAGAATAATTGATCATGATATGCAAACATCACCCACCATGTGAAGGATTTTATATTATGTTTAGTATTTTTTACAGGTTAATGCCCTTTCACATTAGAAACTTTTATCCTTTTCAAAACTCACCTTGTCATTGTAACTAACTCCTCCTACTTTTTTTATTGTATCTACATGAAACTTAGTACATTGTTAGGATTCTAATATGCAGGTGCACATGAGGGTAGGATATTTTCATCTGGTGAGTTTTATTAAGAGTTATGCCCCTTTTAACTCAGAAATGTTGGATGTCTGTCTGTCTGTCTGTCTGTCTGTCTAGACTTACTATTTTTATTTCCTTTGATAAAATAAAGTGTTGTTCCAACCCCTGGGTATTTCTTTCTGGTAAAGCCCTTATGCAACTAATGAAGGAATAAGTAACACAATTTTTCTTTTATAATACATATGTGTAAAAAATAGTGTTGAAATAGAAATACTCAAACAAACAGATGCATAAATATAAAGTACATGAAAAAAGTGTAAACATGTATGTATATTTCCATTATGAATATCATAATTAATGATTTAATTGTTTTCAACTTATTGATCAATAGTTGGAACATTACTACTAAAATTGTCCAATATTGTGTAACTACAATTATTTATGGGGCAAGCTGTTTTAAATACTAAAATGAATGAAGTTTTCCCAAGACTTCATATGTAAGAGATCATAAATTTGAATTAAAAGACCAATCATCAAATGATTCTCAGAAAAAAAACCCACATGATTTGATCTTATATAAGAGTTCTTTTATAGTTTATTGAAAGTGATTGTTTTTTTTTTTGTAGATTGACGATTTCCAGCCATTAGAGTACCTATCTGAAATGAGACAGGTGTCGATAGTATTTATAAATCTTGTCTTAAATAAAGACGAGAATGAGGCAGAACTGTTACAGAAAATATTTGGTGCTGTTTATATACAGATCAAAGCCTTGCATGGTATAGTATCATAGTTTGATAAGAAGTACTTTATGTGTTGTAATTTCATTGCTTTCTTCAAGTTTGAACAATTTTATCATAGTATTCAAATGAATTTTATTTTAGATTTTTTTAAGAAATTCTAGCCTATTGTCTTTATTTTCAATGTAATTTATGTTTAAATGATATGATATCCCAAAGATTCTTTATTTGTTGTTTAGTATAGAGGATAATTCACCATTAAAGACATTTTCTTTGACTAGAAATTTAAGAAGGTCTTATTATTGCATTATTTTTTATAAAAAAAACAACCTTTGATATATCATTTATTATTAAGATGTGTTTTTAAAGCAGCATTTGTATTTTTAATCACAATCAGAGTTTTGACTTTTTCTTGCAGGTTGTTTGAATAAAGTTTTCCTGTTTGACAAGGTAAATATAAAGCTCAAATATTTGTTTTTGTATTGCATAAAATACATAATGATAAAATGTGACCTAACATAAATGGAAATTGAAAATGTCCAATAAGATAGTACATGTACTAGTTTGTACTAACAGTTCTAATTTCCGCAATTGTATACTCTTTTATTTTAGGAATTGAAATATTAATTTATGATACCATATTTTTACTTTTTCCTAACAGTAAACAAGACCCATGACTTTTGTTATCAAATTAAGGAAGTCTCCTGAACTAAGAAGTATGTGACATAAGACAGACATCATTTACTAAACTTATATGTGACCTTTTTGCAAATCTCCAGTATAGTTTCATGAAGTTAATTTTTGAAAATTAAGAAAAAACTTTTCTTATGCAGGATTCTTTTATTTTCAGAGATTTTTCATGATTTAGTTTAGGGTTTAGTCTTGGTTTTAGTTTGGGGAAAGGCATATTGGTAATAAAGAGCAAAAATATCTCCCAACATGCAGTATTCTTTTATTTTTTGATGGACCAAAAATGAAAACAGTAGATTTAAGTTTGGAAAGTTCATCATGTGTAAGAGTAATGTTAAGGGTATAGGTATGATTAAGGAAAACTGATGCTTCAACATGATGCCATAAAATGAAAGTCCATATTTACCTTTATTTTCAGGGTTGTACCTTTTTGGTAATATTTGGTTTACCTGGATTTAAGCATGAACAGGACTGTGCCAATGCTTTGATGTGTTCATATAGGATGAAAGAGACATTGTGTGGTGTAACAGGAGTTTTGTAAGTGCCATTGTTTCTTAATTATCTCAGTTGTAAAGTTTTGACAATTTGATTGGCATAATCTGGTAAGTACAGTTATAGTACTGCAACCAGAGTTCATTTTTTTAAACTTTAATGTTCCGGAAGAACACACACCTAAATCATATATCGATGGAAAGAGGAAAACGTGTACAATAAGAAAAGTTTGGTCGTAAAAATCCAGAGTGGTCACATTTTTGTAAAATTGAGGTCAAAGGTCAGACCTAAAAATATCAATATTTCAACTACAAGGAGAAAAAGGAGAAATTTTCTGATATATAGTCAATGGAATGCTACAAAAACGGTTCAATCATAAGCATATACTACAAACGATGATAAAACGACAAATTTGACTACTTATATGAAGAGCTGCCATTACAAAATGGCGTTGATTTGGAACCTTCTGATTTTTTGCCATTTATGACATAGCAAAAGAAGAGGTGGCTTTGACCTTTTCACATCCATAAACTTTCATATTGTTTATACTTTTTCACTTCAGTATATTACAAAATTATTTTCTTAACTATAAAACACCAGTTTATCAAACTATTTCAATATTTTTCTATCTTTGAAAAAAACAAAATTCAAGCACTGAAACAGTGTTTTTAATTTTGTATCTAAAAGGTTGTGTATTTTGTGAAAATTAGTATCTAGTTATAGATAAGTACATATTGTGTATTTGCAAAGTCTGGACAGATCAGTTATAACACAAAAAAATATCATAGTCAACCGAGGCGAATGCCAAGTTTAAAAAAAAATCATATGTGTGACTTGCATTGAGTAAGCGTTTGTTTGAGTGTAAAACAAAGTCAGTTTGGTGCATGAACATTGTCTTAGTGGGATTATCTGTGCAAAAAAGTGTAGACTCATCAATTTTTTAGAGAAGTGTTGGAAAATAATACAATGTAATGTCAATTTGCTAATGTTGTAATTTAAAATCAGTCATGACCCTTATATAACTTGTCTTATAAAAGCGAAATACAATAGCCTTAGTTTCATTAAATACTATTTCGCTTTTCAGAGGGTCGACAGAGGGTGCAAAGATTTATAATTTCTTTAGAAATATTATCTTATCAACTTTTTCTTGGACGAATCGTTTCTCAACTTTGTAACGTAACTAACAGTCCTGCTGAAAATATTTGAGGTAATGGAATGACTTTAACACGATTAGTCATCAGCGTAAGCCATGGCAATGTTCTCTTGTTTATAGCCTACCTTTGCCAGGAGGAACTCTAATTGACAATTAAGAACAAACATTTTAAACGTATTTTGATTTTAATTAATTTCTCTTAATAATTTTTTTTTCATAATAGATGGCAATGTGCATTATTCTAACAAAAACCGATTAGTCGAGTATCATTTTGGTATTCGATACTCGGTACTACCGAGCGATACTCGAGTACTCGAGTACTCCTTGACATCCCTATTAAACAGGGATGTTAATCAATCAATTCGTCATCATATGAGGATTCAACACGCGTATTATATTTACAACAGAGTTTGTTGAAAGCAAACACAGCTTTTGAGCACAAAGATTTGCCTTAGCAGGTACAAAGATAATCCTGTAAGTAATCTGATGACATTTGTCACATGACAAATGATGGGGTTTATCCATTTTTGTCCTCCCGGTCGAATTTTTGAAAGAATTCGGAACACGAACAGGACCTCTATTACCTTTGGTATAATGAAACAGCCAACAACGATGATGCACTGTCAGTCAATTGAAAAGTGTTATCTTGACCTCTCTTCACTTTCATCTGACGCATTCTGGATTCAATTGCGGATTGATAATAAAATTGAGAATGGAAATGGGGAATGTTTCCGAAAGAGACAACAACCCGACCATAGAGCAGACAACAGCCGAAGGCTACCAGTGGGTCCTCAATGCAGCGAGAAACCTGAAAGTCTGCTCGTGCCATGGAATGAAACGTTCCTTACTATCAATTGTCTCCGTGTTGGTGACTATATTGTCAGCACCTTTTTGTATCAAACATCCCCCTTGGTGTTTTGCAACAATGCTATCTGGAGCGAAAATACCGTCTTGATTCGGCCAAACCCGTGCATGGTAATGCTTGTCAGGTATAGTCTTACCTCTGCATAGGAAACACAAAAGACATGTGAGTACAAAGTTTCTATCAATATTCGTGACTCATATTCCCATATTCATGATATAACTGCACGGTCAATCCCAAATGTAATGGGGCGAATGTTGATACAGAAACGATTTATTTTCTAATAGCCATACATTTACGATTTTTTGTTATCTTTAGGAACAATATACGGTTCAAATGCGCCTTTGTGTGATTTTTTATCAATTAACTAACAAATGAACTACAAAAGCGATACAGGCATCTTTTCCATAGAAACATCCAACGAGCTCATAAGAGCGCTGGCGGCACAGTGAAGTAATTGTTCTTCTTTTTATGTATCCTTGATATCTTCAGACAGACCTTGGTGTCATTCTGAAAGTCTTAACATAGACTTCAATTTTCCTGCAACAGATATGGCATCCCCTACATTGAATTCAGAGCTAAACTCTATATTTGATATCCATTGGCCTTGCTGTGTCTGAATTGTAAGGTGCCATTATATCTAGTTAGTTAGTTCTGGAGTTTTGCAGTTTGGTAAGCATCAGAGACAATCTTGGGTGAAAGTGATCGGTATATTTTGAGGATGTGCTACATGAGAAAGGCCTTTTTATGAAAGAACAGACCATTACTTACAACCAATTTCAAATATTAATTTTAGTAACTGTTTTACCTGATTACACAGGTGTTGACTTCAATAAGTACTTGGTGATGCATGCTGAAAGGTAGACTGAATTTGAAAATAAATTTGTACTCGCGATTATCTCTACCATGCCATGCATGGATAAATGATAACTCACACAAGCACACCTCAAATGACCGTCAACACGTTCAGACGACTCAGTTTTGTGTAGTTTTCTGTAATTTTTAAAGCCAAACTACAAGGAGGAAAATGAGCGCGAGATCGAATAAAAGTGTCAGGTTGTGAGGATACATGTGCATCAGTTTGATCACATATATGGCTTTCTGTTGTTTCTAATTAAAAGAAGCAACAATTTTGCCTTCTGGTGTAAGTCTTATAACATCACTGATGATTCACAACTCTTTCGCCCAAGAAAAGCAGAATATCAAGAGAAGTTGGTTGTATCATTACCTTGTTACACACCAAATCTCTGCAAAACTTTAATAGTACTTTCCCCCGAACTGCTTGCATGCATATTAATTGCTTTGAGGTTGAACATTGACATACAATGTATTTTTCCCACACAATATCAACTAGTCATTATCCGGAAAAACAACTTATCCGAAGGATTTGGTTAACTTTTATAAAAAGTCAAAATTTTATTAACTAAAATATAACTTATTAACAGAAAATACACGAAAGAACTACTATATATATTCAAATCTCTCAAAAATAAATTAACTTATCCTAGAAAATGTACATAATTTCATCGAAACTATCAAATTCATTGTTAAGGAAAAAATAAATGGTGGAGCTGATTGACGGATAGGAAATTTCAGTAATTAAAAAAGGTACAAATGATGTTTTTATTTTTGAGTTTTTGACAAAATTGTTTGGAATTTGACCAACAAAATTTGCATGCAGTATTGCAATAATACATTTTGTCCTCTCAAATGTCAAATACTGTTTTTGAATCATATGTTTTCTCGTTTTCAAAGAAAAACGCGTTAAATTTCCATCTGAAAACAGTCAACTTTAAGTTTGAAAGTTTTACTCGGGGATGGTATTATATTTATGGCTTCATCATTCAAATGATCCTAGATGATATGTGCATCGAAAATTTTTACGAAAGTGGCGGGAAATTTAACAAAAACATTTAGTTTTGGGATTTTAAAGTGACTACCCAAAACCGTAAATTGAGGGGTACCCCATTAAATGGCTAAAATACAAAAATGTGACCATAGAAACTTTTTACGACCAGACGGAAAATAAAATATATATATTATTCTATCATTTAAAACAATTTGCGGCCGTGTGTTATTCCGGAACATTAAACTCGTTAACTAAGCGTCTTTTTCGAGGTCAGTTGCAGTACTATTAGGGAAGAAAACTCTTGTAAGTGCAGTTAAGGGAGAAAACTCTTTTAACTACAGTTAAGGGAGAAAATTCTTTTAAGTTGTCAAAATTTTTCAACAGCATAGTACAGTTAATGTTTCATGGACGTATACACAGAGATTATACCTTTTTATGCTTTGCTAAAGTGCAATCTATCTTTCCAATTGCAAAACTAAAATAAACAGTCTATTAAATTTAGCAACATTTACAAAGTATTTATATTAAAAGGTTTTTAAGAGAAAACAATATTTATTTGAGCAGAAAGAATAGTAGCTAGATGATCAATTTTTCAAATAAAATTATAGAAAATAGTTTCTTTTTATATTGAAGAAAAAAAAGTTACCATGCTTAACTTCTCATTACATAAGATAATAAAACTTTCATTATGATTCTATTATGTATTTTGGGCTAAATAAACTGAACTTTATTTGATAAAATATGATACACAATCACACTCTTGACATTTAAATGAATGTCATTGCTCGAAAAGATAATATTTCAGTACAGTAAACAGGCTTACAGATGATTTAAGCTACTATTTAAAGCAGTTATTATTAGTTATTATTGCAATAAACTCAAATATTACAGCAATAATTGTTGAACTAAGTTATATTCTGTGTAGCACTAATCCAAAAGGTAGCATGCAATATGCCAAAGTATTGCAATAGTGCAATATCGCTTGAAAATGGTGATATAAAGGATATTCAAACATGATCATCTTGTCATTTATAAAGCTTATTGCCATACAAAAAAAAAAGAAGGTTACAACACAAATGTTAGTGAATATTGTCCATCAGAAAAATTAAATGGATTTACAAGCTCCTGCAATATATCAGTCATGTTCTACTCAGAAATATATTCACCAGTATTAGTGCAATGACTTTGTTTTATTCTGCCATTATGGTACACTTTTATGATATGATAGGCCTGACTTTTTGACAATTTTAGGCATGTATCAATTGGTGTTACAACAGGTACAACCTTCTGTGGAGTGGTTGGGCATAGCAAAAGACATGAATATTCAGGTAATTCTCTTGTGTGTACATAGAATTTTTTTAAAGTGCAACACTTCATGAAACTAATTATATTAAAATGCTGGTCGACATGTTCCACCTGCCAGGCAGACGTCATCAGGACAGTTAACATACAGAAATTCAGCACTGAATTACAAAGCTTGGTACATTAAATTTTGACGTAACAATGTGCATTGCTCTTGGTGAGATATAATGAAAAGTGAAAGTATAGAGTTATAAATAGATCAGATAAATATAGTTTCTTAAAAAGTCAACATATTTTTTTTAGTGATAGGAAGGAGAGTAAACTTCGCAGCAAGGTTGATGATGCACTACCCAGACAAAGTAGCCTGTGATGATAGAACATTCCAATTATCCAGGCTTCCTGCCCATAACTTTGATGTTCTTATCACCAAGAGAATGAAAGGATTGAGAAATGTTGGAATTATTAGAGAATTTAAAGAAAGTGCTGATTTAGGTGTAGGTGTAAACAGTGTTCCATATTTTCACTATCCATTGTTAGGTATGCATATATATGAAATTTAAATTAGTCTTATGTTTTCCCCTTCACATAGCTAAACTAGCTTATAACAAAATAATATGTTAATCAGTGGTATTCATTCGATTTTGCTATAATTCAATAATTTTTAAGGAAATAAAGATTGTTGTATCGTAAACATATAATTTATCATTTTTAGCTCACCTGGCCCAATGTGCCAGGTGAGCTTTTCTCATCACTTGGCGTCCATGGTCCGTCATCGTAGTCGTCGTCGTCCATCGTCCATTAACTTTACAAAAATCTTCTCCTCTGAAACTACTGGGCAAAATTTAATCAAACTTGGCTACAATCATCATTAGGGTATCTAATTTTAAAAATGTGTCCAATGACCCCGCCAGCCAACCAACATGGACGACATGGCTAAAAATAGAACATATGGGTAAAATGCTGTTTTTGGCTTATATCTCTGAAACTAAAGCATTTAGAGCAAATCTGACATGGGTGTTAAAATGTTTATCAGGTTGAGATCTATCCATTCTGTAATTTTCAGACGAATCAGACAACCCGTTGTTGGGTTGCTGCCGCTGAATTGGTAATTTTAAGGAAATTTGGTTATTATCTTGAATACTATCATAGATAGAAATAAACTGTAAATAGCAATTATGTTCAGCATAGTAAGATCTACAAATAAGTCAACATGACCAAAATTGTCAATTGACCCCTTAAGGAGTTATTGCCCTTTATAGTCAATTTTTAACCATTTTCGTAAATTTTTGATATAATTTACAAAAATCTTCTCCTCTGAAACTACTGAGCCAAATGTAACCAAACTTGGCCACAATCATCATTAGGGTATATAGTTTAAAAAATATGTCAGATGACCCCGCCTACCAACCAACATGGCCGACATGGCTAAAATTAGAACATAGGGGTAAAATGCCGTGTTTGGCTTATATCTGAAACTAACATATTTAAAGCAAATCTGACATTGGGGAAAAATATTTATCAGGTTGAGATCTATCCGCCTTTAAATTTTTAGATGAATCAGACAACCTGTTGTTGGGTTGCTGCCACTGAATTGGTAATTTTAAGGAAATTTTGTTATTATCTTGAATATTATTATAGATAGAAATAAACTGTAAACAGCAATAATGTTCAGCATAGTAAGATCTACAAATAAGTCAACATGACCAAAATTGTCAATTGACCTGTTAAGGAGTTATTGCCCTTTATAGTCAATTTTTAACCATTTTTCGTATATTTTTGTAATCTTTTACAAAAATCTTCTCCTCTGAAACAACTGAGACAAATTTAACCAAACATGGCCATAATCATCATTAGGGTATCTAGTTTAATAAATGTGTACGATAACCCCCGCCTGCCAACCACCATGGCGGACATGGCTAAAAATAGAACATAGGGGTAAAATGCATTTTTTGGCTTATATCTCTGAAACTAAAGCATTTAGAGCAAATCTGGCATGGGTATAGATGTTTATCAGGTTTAGATCTATCTGCCCTGAAATTTTCAGACTAATCAGACAACCTGTTGTTGGGTTGCTGCCCCTGAATTGGTAAATTTAAGGAAATTTTGCAGTTTTTAGATATTATTTAAAATATTAGTATAGATACAGATAAACTGTAAACAGCAATAATGTTCAGCAAAGTACAATCTACAAATAAGTCCATATAACTAAATTTTTCAATTGACCCCTTAAGGAGTTATTGCCCTTTATAGTCAATTTTTCGTAAATTTTTGTAATCTTTTACAAAAATCTTCTCCACTTAATCTACTGGGCCAAATAGAATTAAACTTAGCCAATTTTCAATAGGGTATCTTGATTGAAAAATGTATCCGATGACCCTGTCATCCAACCAATATGGCCACCATGGCTAAAAATAGAACATAGGGGTTTACTATAGAAGTCTAAGGGAATATTGTAAGAAAAAACTAATTTCAAATGGTCACAACTTGAAAACTAATTCGAATAATGATAAGGGGTCTTCAGTAACTATTGTAGGACTACAATGGGATGACCTGCTTTTTAATTTAACTACTGGGCCAAATTAAACCAAACTTGGCCTCAATCATTATAAGGATATCTAATACTATTAATTATAATTTAAACCTTATTTTACATGATTTCGAAAACAACAGTAGATACAGGTGAGCGACACAGGCTCTTTGGAGACTCTAGTTTAGCTTAGGGCCAAGTGAGCTATTCTCATTGTCACCGTCAGTCATCATTGTCCATCATCAGTCATTGTCTTTTAACCTTTACAAAAATCTTCTCCTCTAAATCAAGGCCCCAATCTTCCTTAGGGTATCTAGTTTAAAAAAATTTGTCCGACGATCATGCCTGCCGACCAAGAATTTATTTCATTTTTGCCCATTATTTTGAAAACTATAATAGATAAAGATAAACTTTAAAGCCAAAATGATCTGCAAGACAAGATCTACTAATTTTTTGGGTTACAAATAAGTCAAGTTTTGCTGAAACCATAGACTCCTTATAGGAGTAATTGCTCTTATTAAATGACATTTTTTTTCCCTTTTTTTGTGTTTTGGGCAAAATCTAAAGAAGATAGAAAGAAATTGTAGACAGAAAAAATGATCAGCAATACAAGATCAACCAAAAAAGATATTTTTGTCTTGAATTATAATAGAGTCTTAAATGTTTGAAAGCGTCCATTGTTGAAGATGCACATAGTCCTAGGTTAGCAACACAGACTTTTTAGTCTCTAGTTTCATAGGCCGTTAAATTATTAGACATGACAATGAACAATTAGAATCAAAACTTAATTTTATAAAGAGAACCCTAATTTCATTAAGAGCTACACTCTTGAATGTATAATTTATTACTTTGTTGTATTTTTCTGCATTCTTTTTTTTTAAGGCTGTACAAAAGAAGTGGAAATGTTTGAAGAGCAAGTGAAGAACTTAAAAAATGAAGATGATGGTAAAAAGGTCCGGCATCTTGTGTATGTTGGTGCTTCTGGGATAGGTAAAACCAGATTATTGGATCATTTGATAGTTGGTGCAGAACATCGAGACTTAAGGTATGATAGATTTATCTAGCTGTGTTGATATCAATCTTTAGCATTTGTAGAAAAAATATAATTTTTGGGGAAAATTTTGTTGTAAAGTAGATAACATGGTAAAAATATTTCTCTAATTCTTCGTCAATTTATCCCTTTCTGCACCCATTGTATAAAAAAAATTTAATCAACGTGTGGTTTGTTTGATCTCAGTTCTTCATTGGTTAAAATCCGATTATGACGTAGAATTTACTTGCTTTCCTCTGAATTTCCTATTGTGATGGCATGAAAAAAGGCGACCATGTCTGATGATGTCACATAGAAAAAGCATATCTTTTTACAGATCATTCGAAAAGACGGAATAAGTTTGCCTGCATATTGTTTGAAAATCATTAGAGAAACAGATTCCACCACCAAATCTCATGTAATATGATATTTATCCACTCTCAACAATTAAATTTTGAATATTTAAAACGCTCGGCGAGCCTCGCGTTTTAAATTTGAAAATTTAACTGTCTCGAGTGGATAAATATCGTATCACACTCGATGCAGTGGTAGAATCTATATGTATCAGCATGTTAAGCTATGACAAAGTGGTTTTCATATTTATACTATATTTCCTTTTTTTTTCAATTTGATGAAATTTTATTGTTATGTAAAAAATCTGTTGAGAATGTTAGTCTATTTCAAATCAGATTTCATATTCATGCTATGTTTACATGTTATTGTTCAGAATTTGGCTGAAAATTACCCAAGCGATACCTTATTAAACACACATATGTTCCGAAACTTCTTTATAAATTGAAAATTTAGTAGAAAAGAGGGACGAAAGATACCAGAGGGACAGTCAAACTCATAGATCGAAAAACAAACTGACAACGCCATGGCCAAAAATAAAAAGACAAACAGACAAATAATAGAACAGATGACACAACATAGAAAACTAAAGACTAAGCAACACGAACCCCACCAAAAACTGGGGGTGATCTCAGGTGCTCCGGAAGGGTAAGCAGATCCTGCTCCACATGTGGCACCCGTGGTGTTGCTTATGTTATTATAAATCCGGTAAATAGTCTTATTCAGTAGGTCACATTCGTTAAAAGGGAAGGGTATTGTAGTTACGACATAAGGAACATATCCGATATCATCTGTGAAACAGTTATTCCATAACGGTCAACCAACTTGAGATGGCGTCCGTAAAATTTACGAAGGGATGATTTCAACTTCACCATTTGGAACTCTTGGTTTAATAGCTTCCTTGTGAGCAGCAATCCTCTATCAAGGAAATCATGATAGGTAATACAAGATTGGGAATATCGTATCAATTGGGAGATATATACTCTGTATGCAGGCACTGCTGGAATGTTGCTACATAGAAATGGAAAGTTCACAATTGGGAAGCTGAAATCATCTCTTTTGTTGTAAAGTTTTGACCCTCATTGTCAATTTCTAGATGTAAGTCAAGATATGAGGCAGACTTAACTGTATCTGTAGTATCCTTTATCTCTAGTTCGATGGGATAGATTAGTTCAACATAGTCACCAAATTTTGTATTATTTAGTGAGAGAACATTATCTATATAGCGGCTGTTAATAATCTATTAATTTTGAGGTTATAGCTTTATTTCATTTTTATTCAGAGTGATATCGTGTGCAGTGCAAATGAATGATAGATTTAACAATAATTTCCTGACCAGACATATAATGAGAATGTTGATATCAAGTGCTGGTTTCTCCCACCAAATAGACAGGGAACCAGAGATTATAGAGAAAATAGCATCAAAAGGATTGTTGGGAAGTTTGGGCCTTATTCCACATGTACTTGGGACACAGGTAAGATAGAAAAAAATAAATCAGTTGGTAGGTAGTTTAACCATTTCAACATCTAAGAAATATATAAATTCCTCTTGGAATTTTTTTTATCAAACTGACTTAATTTAATTCTTTATTTATTTAAAGAGGATTGCCAACAGCTTAAGGATAGGTGTGGGTCTCCTCAACATAGATATATACAAATTCACAATTAACAGATTTTTTTTTTTATAAACATGTTTAACACAAGACAAGACAATATGTACAGGACAAGACATAAGGATGTAAACTTCACACCTATCCAATCACTCACGCATTCTTACTCACACGCACATGCCTTTACAATCATGTTGAACTCAGTAATATAAAATAATAATTAAGGAAAGACAATTTTGAGTACAATCAGGTAAAAAAAAAAGAAAGAAAAATAGAAATATATATATACATTTGTATGTGTTTCTTACCTAATATGTTTGATTACAAGGAAAAAAAGGTAATACAAATGTGTTATTGATCTAGCGAGAAAACCTGTTTGAAGATTTAATATATCGAAACACACACTCAAACAGCTCTAAATTAGCATCATCAGACAAATCGTCACTACTTTCTATTAAAATTTTGCTCAGGTAGTTAGGACTAAGATACCGCAACATTGCTATATTTATATCTGGACAAATCAGATTCTTAATACCAAGTAGAAGAGTAATCCGATAGCTCGTGTAATGGACGCAATGAATTAAATAGTGCTCGGTGCTTTCAATACGGTTACCTGGGCAGAAATCGCAAAACCTATTTAATGTAAGATTATATTTGTACAAATGGTCATTAAGGGCACTAATCTAGTATGAATCTTTTTCTCATAACCATGCCCACATGAATATATTTTTTTACTACGCAAATTAAAACTCTTCTTTAACAACCTTTTGAAACACGTCAAAGATGTTGCTGAAATTAGTTCAGCGGACAAGCTGTTCCAGTCTCTAATCGTAGATAGAAGAAAAGAATTGTAGTATGCTACTGTTCTTGACCTGATAGGTATCAAGTTGGCATGACGTCTTAAGTTATAGTTTTCAGTGTTATGATGGAATAATGGATGAAAATTACAGAGATAATCTGGAACAAGATGATTTTTAATTTTGTACAAATATGTAAGTCTGTGAACTTTACGGCATGTTTTAAGAATCTCAAGTCCAACCTCTTTCAATAAAGTGGCATGTTTTGTGACCCTGATTGCCCCAGTAGATATAATGCAGGCACGTATCTGTACATGTTCAATGTTTGCAGAATCAGCACTAGATCAGTTATCATAGATAACATCTGCATAGTCTAGTAATGAACGAACAAATGTTTAAAATAACTTTTCAATACATAATCTTGGTAATAAATGTCGCATCCTCAGGATAGTGTTTAGTTCACTGTGACATTTCTTACAAATATCAGCAATATGATTGGTCCAAGAAAGTTTATCATTCAAAATAAGGCCTTAATGTGTATGGTGTGTAATTCTCTTTATATTTACATTATTTAAGATCAATGGAGGGTAGTGGGGTATATTCTTCTTCTTAGAAATTATAAGATACTCAGTTTTTTGTGCATTGAAAATTACACACCATTGCCGTGACCATGTGTTCAACATGTCGATGGTCACTGTTCAGAGTCTGAAAACAATCTGAGATGTCATCAATTTGTTTGACAAGGGAAGTATCATTAGCAAACAATTTAATATTGCTGGTAATGCCTTCTTTAATATCATTAAAATAAATAAGAAAAAGCAGAGGACCGAGTATAGAACCATGGGGTACACCAGCATAAGTGTTTTGACTCGATGATGTCTGGCCATTAATAACGACTCTTTGAGGTAATTTTCTATAAGAGACAAAAGAGAACCACATATGCCAAATTGTTTAAGTTTGAAAACAAGACCTTTGTGCCAAACTTTATCAAAGGCCTTAGACACGTCTAAGAAGATTGTACAGACATCTTTACCGTTATCTAATGTTCATTGTCAGTAAATATAAGGTCTAACAGTGTCGCACTGCTGTCCGTATACTTGGTCGGTTCATCAATTACTTGTGATAGACCATGCCTATATGCCAGATTAAAAAGAGTTAGACCGAGCTCGTTGTGACTATGACTATCAAACCATGAAACACATCGGTGGTTGAAGTCCCCTAAGATCAAGCAGACATCTGGGCTGTGTGATTTCATATTTTCGACGACTGCAGTAAAGCTATCAATGAATTTCCAACATTCATTAGCAGTTATGGTCTGCGGTCTGTAACAAACACTAACTAGGATAGACTTATCCCTGGTCTTGACTTCAATGCATAAGAATTGGAGACTGTATTTCTAGCTCCTGACGGCGCAATGAATATAATCGATCGGAAACATATATGGCTACACCACCGCAACCCGACCTGTCAGCCCTATCTGGCCTGTGGATATTATAATTATCAGTCTTAATATCTTCAAATGAGATGTCCTGTTTTAATCAAGTTTCACTAATATAGATCACATCATATTGGAATTCGTTACACAGCACAGGACAGATTCAATTTCGTCTAGCTCAGTTCTATTAGACTTCAATACGCTGTCAAAAGAATATAAACTACGTGCATTTAAGTGACATACAGAAAGATCCCCTGACGGACCCGGATTAGGATGAATAGTTCCCGATGTGACTAGTAATAAAAACATCATCATTGCTAGCTTGTGTAATGAAACAGAAAATGAGAGAACGGTAACAACAGAACAAAAGACGTACATGTAACGAGAGTGTGACAAAGTGTTACTCAGAAAGTGATAACTGTTTAGTTGTAATTGCTTTGATAAAATAGTATTCTGAAATTGACCAATACACGCTCTATACTGATCAACCCCGATCATAAGTTAGCAAGAGTAATGTTACGGGATTATGGATCACTACACAAGAACAAAACATATATGTTAACAAACAGTATAAAACAAGTAGACAAAAAAATACAAGCAAGGTACACATAGAGAAAACAAAAAAATAACACAGGCAAACAGATATCCAATGCACATAATAAGCAATTAATCATTATAAAATTTGCAACGAATTTTGTATAAATATCTACAATAATTTAAGATGTGATTATTATTAAGACTGAAAAAGGGATCATTAAAACAGTCAAATAATGATAGATTTGATAAGAATAATAATTACCGGTAAAGATCAAGAGGTTGATTACTGTGAACTTTCGTAATGATGACTATGTTAGCTGTGATACAGAAAATGCATTGATATGAAGCAAAAAGCAATATATATATATATATATATATAAAAAACTTAAACAAACCCTAAGAATCTGTCAGCGCCTTCCAAATACCGTTTCGATTCCTAACATTACTCAAGAGACATTAATTGTCGTAATCCGGATATGGTGTACAAATTTTGCACCTCATGTTTGCAGTATACCATCTTTTCCGCAAGTTTATTGTTTTCTGTTTGGTATTAAATTCATAATAAAGATCCATTTTGTTACATCTTGTGATCCGTTTATTTGGCAATCGTCGATGGCAGTCAGCAGGGTTATAGAACATCTGTTGTTCTACTTGTTAGTCAAATGCATTTTTTTTAAATATACTTTTTCACTTTTTTGGTCTTTTGGAAAATGTTGTTTGTGCTGTATTTAGACCCCTCTACTAAGAAATTTGTTTTGCATGCACACGTATAAAAATTGCGGTTTTTATCCAACGCAATCATAGGTTTGAACATTGTTTTCAATTTAGACTTGTTTATATTTTTTCGTTTGGGCTTGTATTATATTTGCCTTCAGGTTTATATGATCCTTCATCCTATTACGACTCTTTCAAAATTCAAGGGTCTATCCTAAATTGAGGTAAATTATATGGCCTTCCAAATACCGTTTCGATGACTAACATCACTGAAGAGACATTAATTGTCCAAATCCGGATATGATGAACAAATTTTTTCACCGCATGTTTGCGGTATACCATCTTTTCCACAAGTTTATTGTTTTCTGTTTGGTATTAAAATCATAATAAAGATCCATTTTGTTACATCTTGTGATCCGTTTATTTGGCAATCGTCAATGGCAGTCAGCAGGGTTATAGAACATCCGTTGTTCGACCTAATTTTTTGTTCTTCCCTATATATTCAAAAGAAAATGCATCAAATAAGTTTTTTAACAACACTATATGTGAATTTAGAAATTACATCAGCTTACAAAGACCGTATTAACATCAGCAATGTCAATTATTCTCTTTATAACATTGTTTTTGTGTTTAGCAAACTGACTTGTTGCAAGGAAAATAATATCATTCATGTATGAATTTCATGAAGCAACTATAATTATATTATATATAATTATATATATATATATATATATTCAAAAGAAAATGCATCAAATAAGTTTTTGAACAACACTATATGTGAATTTAGAAAATACATCCGCTTACGAAGACCGTATTAACATCAGCAATGTCAATTATTCTCTTTATAACATTGTTTTTGTGTTTAGCAAACTGACTTGTTGCAAGGAAAATAATATCATTCATGTATGAGTTTGATGCGCTATCTATAATTTTGTTACATGCTTTTTTTTTTAAATTTGCTTCCACATTTACATTCATGTAGGCAAATAAATGTTAGGTTTGTCAAATTAATTTTTGTACTGATATAAAATCTGAAGCAGAGAACAGAAATATAACTTTCAATACATCATTAAAAGCATTAACAATTTGTTGGCATCATCAAAAGCCTTAACAATTGTTGGCATCGTCAAAAGCATTAACAATTTGTTGGCATTATCAAAAACATTGAAAATTTGTTGTCATCATCAAAAGCATTAACAATTTGTTGGCATCATCAAAAGCATTAACAATTTGTTGGCATCTTCAAAAGCATTAACAATTTGTTGGCATCATCAAAAGCATTAACAACTTGTTGGCATCATCAAAAGCATTAACAATTTTTGGCATCATCAAAAGCATTAACAATTTGTTGGCATAATCAAAAGCATTAACAATTTGTTGGCATCATCAAGAACATTGAAAATTTGTTGGAAGATGGATTTATGGCTTTAAATGCAAGGATTTATGTATGTGTCTTATTTTAGCTTTCAAAGGTGAGCATGTACATCAAGCCAGATGAGGTTATGGGAAATCCAGATGATTTATCCAAAGCTAATGAATTGATTGGTACCATAGCAGAACTGGTATGTATATTCTATGTCCCATAGATGATATGTCTTAAGCTCACAGAGCTCACCAAACTTTGAAGAAGTGTGAGTCTAATTTCTTTTATTTTTGTCACCCTGAAATCACCTTCCAGAGAAATTAAAGTGCCTTTGATAATTTGAGGAATTTTCAAAGTATCAAAGATGTTCAAATTGGAGGTAATTTATTAGAAAAGACAGACACCACATAATGCTTAATCAATAATGAACATTCAAGATTTATGCCAGTCATTTAATTTCCACAAATACAACAAACAGTTGTTACATAATTTTTGGTAATGATAATGACCCCACAATGACATAAAATCTGCTGGTATATGGAAAAAAAGCATCGCAGTTCAGAAAGATCTTGGGGCTTTAAACATTTCATGTGAATTTTGAATAAAAAGCCATGCATTACTTTGATTTTAGTTTCTTGACACATGCTCATGTTTTTTATTCACCTTTTTCAGTGTATACATAAAAGCACTCCAGTTGTAATAATATTAGATGATGCTCATAACATAGATGAGGAATCTTGGACCACACTCTTTTATTTGAGCCAACTGACCCACATTCTTTTAGTACTTTCAATCAGACCTAAAGCAGTAGATGAACCATCGTGTCCAGCAGCAGCCAATTTCTTTGACAGTCGTAATGTATTCATTGAAGATATAGGGGGAATAGAAAGCAAATACTTGACAGCATTAGCCTGCCAGTTGATGGAAGTTGTAAGGATACCAAATGCACTAGAAAGGTAAGAGAATTACAGAATTAGCCATTCATGTGTAAATTCTATCTATATACACAATAGCTGCCATCAACACCAAATTCCCTAAAGGGAGAAAAAACAACCCAAAAGATTGATAGATTGATTGTTGTTTTTTTAACGCCACTTTCAGCACTCTTGGCTATTTGTAGCAGCCAGTTTTATTGGTGAAGGAAGTCATAGTGCCCAGAGAAAACCACGACCTTTGGTAGGAAAACTGGCAATCCTAGTCAATACGCCTTTTAAGAATCTAAAGCACTATGGGTAATCTCATTGTTCGTACACCAAAATGAAAATAGCATTTTGTCATTGGTTGAACTTCAATTGTTTAGAATGTTTTAACCAATCACAATGTTTTGGTGTATGCTTTTGAAAATATTACCCAGAATGCATTAGATTCAGAAATGGAGAATTAAGATCGGAGTTGAAAACACCAGTCATATGCAGGGTTCGAACTCACAACCTGAATGTTTACATGTTGGTGATCACTGTAGATGAACTTCTTAGACCACTTGGCTAACAAAGTCACTAAAAGAACAACCTGCTAAGATATATCGGTAATTGAAGACAACCATTGAAATACTTATGTATTTTTTAATAAGAACTCTTTTCATTCTACAAATAATATGTTAACCAATGTTTTGCAACCAAAACCTTGGTTCATAGAATAATTATTTGGTGGGAAGGAGGAAATTAATTTCATGTTGCCTTACAGTAAAATAGTATTACAATATTTCATTTTACTTGGGAAATAATCTATTATTGTTTTTAGATTGTTGAAAGAAAGATGCCATGGTGTACCATACTGGTGTGAACAAGTTTTAATTGACATGGTAGAAAAGAAGCAGTTGATGATCTTGGAGACAGAAGAAGGAAGTCATATAGAGGAATCTACCATTGCGCCTAATGCTAACCATATCAAACCTATACAGCACAGAGCTGAACACCCTGCCGCTGAATTCAAACAACTGAATGATATATTCATTACAGCTACTTCTGTAAATAAAAGATAATTCTTAACCCTTGCCATGCGGGGGCCATTATATTACGGCCTTTACTGAAATAATGTTTTTTGGTTCCAATGGCTCTCCATACTTTTAGAGGTCAACTGTATGGTTTGTTATTCTAAATTGGAGCATGTTCCCTCAACCTTAGGCTATTTCTTGTCATGCTTTTTAGGTTTAAGATGCAGTTTAAGCCCTTATACGAACCTCGTAAAATGATATCGGATAAAACAGTTTTTTCTGGAGGGGTGGGCTTTCTTTCTGTGCCTGGTACGCACAGTATAGAGGCTTAAATCTTCCAAAAATAGTGTCAACCTACAGCATTTAACCACTGTTCATGTTTATCATTGAAATATGCTTAGGGAACGGTTACTTCTAGTTGCAGGTCCAGGTGAAGCCAAAAATCAGTAAATTCCGGATTTTTGTTAGAAATGAACATCTTATGACAACCATACTTAGATCAGGTTCACTCTGAACTCAGCACGTTTGGGATCAATGTGTTCACTGGGGTCTACTCTACATTCAGACTATAGTATCTATTAGCTTTATTGCAATCGATATGCATCAGCAACAGGGTATAGCTCATTTGCATATAATTTGCATAATTTTGCAAATTAATGAAAATTAGACATTTTCTGAAAATAATTCAGCATGGTAAGAGTTAAATATTAGCAACTGCCTCATGGTCAACTTGGAGTCAGAATAATGTATCAGGGTAGGGTGACAATTTTTCCTGCAAACTGTTACTGTGTGAACTAGCATGTTAAAAATCCAGCTTAGAGTGTCCGTCTAGTACAAATTCAAATCACATTAATGTCCTGAATATACATTTAATTTGCTGCTAACTGTAAACAGCCGTCTATCATCATCAAATAGTAGCTTCCAATTTATAACATAAATACAGCTGAAAAATGTTGTCTCCTTTTATATTACATATTTATTTTTTACAATGTATCTGTACTTCTTTTCCTTCTTGTTTATATTTATATAGCTATTCACATTTATTTCTTTATATATTGCCTGTTGAATTATAGGCATGAATAGAAGGAGATATGGAGTATACATATGTCAATCTGCATTAAGATATTGGTTAGTATCAGCTGTGAGTCAAATTATGTAGATTTTTTTTATGAGAGAATTCACAAAAACGCCAGAATAGATTTGTTTTGTACATGAACTACAGTCTACAATAACTATATGCAGAAAAATAAGTAATCAGGTTACAAATTTTTATGTCTGGTCTACGATAGTAGAGAAGGGCTGATGTGAGGTATGATATAGAAAATGTATATTTCTGGCCATTTTATCGATGCTTCATTGATATCTTCTTCCTATTTTTTAGCATTTAAGAATCTGTCCAAAAACTATATGCATCTTGTAATAAATATTTCAGATTGATTCTTTAATGGACAGCAAAGAACCAACGTCTGCCAACTTTTTAAAAGATTTGGGATACATCCACAAAGAGACAGAACACAAGGGAATTTCCAAACAGAGAATTGGTGTGTTTTCACCACAAGTCAATCCAGAAGATATACCTATACCTGATATCATGAAAAGTAAGTGATGGGGATTTATATTTTGGGGTTGAAGCCTTGATGGAAATATCTAAAGGATTTTGATTTTTTTGGTTTTTGTTATCTTCTGCATTAGGTCCAAAAGATATTTGCATGTTTCTTTCCAGGCAAGAAAAAATAGGGTATGTAGGTTAAACAATTTAAAAACAAATATTTACATCAGCACACGACATTGTACATTTTGACATTTGGGCTACAAGTATTTTTTTAATGGACATTTGGGCTACAATTATTAGGACATTTGTGCTTTAACTTATGGACATTTTTGCTTTTTCAACAGAAGTTTAAAAGTCATTTAAAATCCAAATCCCAATTTACATCTAAATACTTTGATGTACTGTGGATTCATTTTTATTCGTGGTATACCAATTTTCGTGGGTTTCGTGGGTCACAGCGAACCACGAATTTAAGAATTCAACGAAGAATAATCCCGAGATATGTGTATGGAGTCGGAATGTTTATTTGCGCTTATGTTATGCAGTTCTAGTATAGTGTTGACTAGCGATAAACATTGTAACATAACACATGTTTTTATTTGAACGAAGATACAAGTATTTTGATTAAATTAATAATAAATATGAATATCAGTGATAATTTACTTTTTAAAATTGATTAAAACTGTCCATGGAAAATAACTGCAAGGTGTTAATTACCGTGTCATAGTTTGGTTTACTGGTGATTAAAAATCGATAGGATTAAGTACGGGGATATTGCCCGTAGGTAATACTGTTGATGACAGGAACATTTATTTTCACACCTTTTACTTATATGACTGTTTATTATATCGTGATTAGGGAAATGGGCTTTCAATCATAGAGTTTTGAATGCCTTATAAAATTCCGACAAGAATTTATAAATTGTAAAACAAACAAATAATTAGTTGTCTCTGTCCATTATTGTAATAGAAGTTTTCAATGAACACTTTAACCTAGAATGACCAAGCGAGGACTTTGACAATTCAAAACTTTTTCAATGAATTCTTTTTTTTTTGTTTGTTTTATTATTGATCAAACCAAGGAGGTTATATAATCTAAATCAAAAAGAAATCCACGAATTACGAATCTGATTTTTTTTTGTTGTAATCAGCAATCCACGAATTTACATATACCACGAAACGTCTTTTTTTCTCTATCCCCGAAAATTGATACCCACAAAAATAAATGAATCCACAGTAGTTGAAGGATTACTGTTGCAGGATACTCTTAAAAATTGCAAAATGAGTTAGGTGAAACAGTTCAGTATAGTGGAATTGCAATGATTCTGGACCATTTGTTGTTTGTTTACTGTGTAATGGCTGCTCAGCCCATAGTATTGGTGAAAATGGAGAGTTGACGGAAATGTTATTTTATATTTCATGTAGGGCACACAAGTCATCTATTTTACAAGGCAATTTTCTCCTGCTATAAGGGTGTTCAATAAAGAAGGACCTGCTGCCGGTAATAGTTTGATATTTTCATTCATATTGAAATAACTTGTTTTATGCCCTGTCTACTATAGAACAAGGCATAATGTTTTCTGGTCTGTGTGTCCATACATCCTGTATCAGGTTAAAGTACATGTATTGGGTTATGGTAATTACCATGAAGTTTTAGTCACATCACTGATCAACTTTAAATGTTGTTCATTATGATGTGACTTTTTTTTTATGGCCAATAAGGGTTCACTTTACCTGAAAATATTGTATAGCCTGCTGGGCAAAGTGTGATTGGTGTTCTACTCAGAAATTTTTAAGGCGAAAAGAAAAAAATAGATGATCCTAGAAGAGAACTTTTTCTGATCACACCCCAAAAATATAATTTTTTTTTTGGAGCCAACAGATGTGGGTGGTTTGGGTGATGTGAAACACACCTACCGGTATTTATTTTTTGCCTTATTTTGATTGGAAACTTATGAATTGTAGATCTAATTACTGCAAAGATAGATTCAATGAGAGCCACAGAACAGTTGATTGTCAAATGTGCCTCAGTGCTGGGTGAGACCTTCCCTCGAGATATGATAGAGAGCATTCTACCTAATGTCAACAGAATCAAAGCTAGAAAATCTTTCAAAGTTCTCAGAAAAACAGGAATATTTGAATGTGCAAACTTGCACAATCCTCTCTATAACAAATTCTCAAAAGACGACGAGGAATATGATATAATGGAATGTTACTGTCCACGAGATGATGAACACATAGATAAAAGTCTTTGTAACCTGATGAAGTTTACTAATTTGATACTGATGGAGACATGCTACAAGATACTAATGGAAAGTCAGAGAAAGACCTTGCATGGTAGTGCTGCAAATTATCTAGAGAAAAAGGCTGATCAGATTAGGAAGGATATTCCATATCATATGTTGGAGAGACCTCCTCCAAAGTTTAACCAAGAGGAAAAAGGTAGGAGGATATTAAGAGTGTCATCTTCAATTTATTTTTCTAAAACCACACAATGTTTTGTGGCTATTTTTGTTGATTGATAACTATAGATTGTTGGTGCTTACACAACTTTCAGCACGCATGACTATATCATGGCGCCCAGTTTTTTTTATGGATTGGGGAAACCAGAATGCCCAGTGAGAACCACCAAATGTAATTAATTAAGATTGTAGTCAAAAACACCTTACTTATGGTGGTTTTTATCAAATGGCATAGCTAATCTGTGGACACATTGGTTTCTATACAAACCGTTTGTTATTGTTAATCAATCTGTATGAGAAGGGCAAATTTGATATTAGTACTAAAAAATACACATATATCCCTTGTTATAGTTTGTTCATGTTATTTATGAAGTTTATGCAGAGATTATACACTGTGCATTTACTTTACAGTTATTTCCTTTTAGCACTGGGTAGAAACCACTGTTGGTTGAGTGTTAGCCCCCAAGGGTATCATTAGCGCAGAAGCTAGTGTTTTGCCACTGAAGTGATTTATAAAACACAGTTCTTAAATTTTCTGTCAAGATAAATTCAATTTTTTTCAAAGATTTCAGGTTCCAACTTCCTCAAGCAAAGTTGACATAAGAAAGTCTCCTCAAGTATCTATATACTGTACAACAACTTATTTTCGCGGATACTTAATTTCGCTTTTGGCCCATTCTAATCCACTAGGCAACGATTTAATTTCGCGATTTTCAGACTACTTGATGTAGTTAAATAAGGAAAGATCCTATTTTTAATATTCGCATTATTTTTTTACTCGCGAAAGTCCAGAAAATAAATCACTCGCAAAAAATAAGTTAGTATCCTTGGCATTCAAATTTTTGGTTATGAGACTATTCCTGATGAAGAAAATCCAGGAAATCAATTAATTAATGTTATCTTCATTGTTTTGCAATGAGTTTTCAATAAGATCCAATGAGAAACGTAATGCTTGATTTAGTACCTGAGCACTTCCATTCATACATATTTGTGAATTAATTTACTTGCAGATAGAAATCACAGTAGAAGGAGAAGTTCTAATAGAGTGGAAGATATAGCTATAGCTGATGCTGAATCTTATATGAGAGTAAGGGGCCGGAGGAAAGGTATTCAGATACAGTGAGTTTTACTTAATATAAACATTTGCTAAATATTTCTTTTTAATTTATGATTTTATATTTGTAATTCTTTGACTTCCAATACAACTGCTGCCATGCTTTCACATATTAGATTGATATTGACAGACTACAATAGTTTAAGTAATAGTTATGTATACCAGTAGGTTATTTGGTTCAAATTAATGAACTAGTGCTTTTCTTTGGCCTATGATTGAAAAGAAGAAAAATTTAATTGCCCTTCAAGTTAATTTGGGTAAAGGTGTTTTTCATTGGAAAGGTCTTTTTTTTATCGTCGTACAAGTTTTTGGCAGAATAATAAATTGTTATATTCCTCTATCTGTATATTAGGATAAAAATCATTGAATATGTTTAAAAACTTATTCTGTTGTTGTAGGGATGTTAGTGGGCTCCTTCCCACATTGATGAAGTCAATAAAATCAGAGAGGACACTAGATGAAGCCTGTGAAGGTTTGATGCCAATTTATAGCCAGATTTATCACCACAGGAAGGCAACTCAAAATTACATGAACATAATAGATATATTGGTTGAGGAAGCTGCTGCATCTATTGTCATGAAACAAACCTCAAATGTAAATATAAGTAATATATAAGTTCTGGTTTACACCTTTTTATGTTCCTCAAAAAGATTTTCAGGAGCATCATACAAATTGCTCGGTTTGTTTGCACTTCTGTCCATCCTGCCATCTGCTCCTCTGTCCTTCTGTCTATGTGTCTGAAACAAATGGTTTCCAGATGAAAACTTGAGTTTCCCTTGATTTGAATTAAATTTACACAGGTAGCAGAATTGGGAAGGGATGTAGCTTGTTGATTTAGGGTCAGTAGGTCAAAAGTTAAGGTGACTGTTAATACATGTACAAATAGAAAAAATTGAAAAAAATGGTTTCTGAATGGTATGTTGATTGGAGTGACTAATTCAGATTGAACATGTAAGGAAGTGAAAAAGCCTATTGATTTTGGGGATAAGAGAAAGGTCAAGGTCACTTAACTAAAAATAGAAAATTGATTCTGTGTGGTACTTTAAGTTTCTTTTGTTTGATTCGAATGAATCTTATACAGACAAGATATAAAGGGGAAGGGAAATAAGTCTCATGATTTTAGAGGTCAATAGGTCAAAGATAAAGATCACTTGCTAACAATAGAAAATGTTTGGAAAAATGGTTTTGGATAGCAGCTTGCGGTTTCCTCTGTTATTTGAATTGCAACTTATACAGATGGAAAATAAAGAGAAGGGGAAGAAGTCTGATTATCAAAACTTGAGGTCAATAGGTCAAAGATCAAGATCACTATTACTAAAAAATGTAAAAAAATTTAGGAAAACAGTTTCTGGATGGTAAATTGAGTTTCTCTCGATCAATTGAAATGAAGCAAAACTTGTACAGATGAAAGATGTAGTAGAGGGAATAAAGTCTATTGATCTTGGGTTAATTTGTCAAAGATCAAGGTATCTTTTATTTTAAATATGTATTCTCACAATTTATACATGTACTAGTGAAAAAAATTGGTAATTGTACATATGAAATAAAAAGATGTGGTATGATTGCCAATGAGACAACTATCCACCACATGCTTCATTTGTCCCTCTAAGCATACTATTATTTTGAACCTTTGAAATGAAAATTAATGTCCAGTTCAGGGAGCATAAGTTGGCAAAATATTCTCTGTTTGTCTATCTTGTGAATCTAAAATTTTTCCCTTTTGTGAACTCATTTAAGAAATATGAACTGGAAATAAAAACAATGATGTAGAAATATTGCATTTTGTTTCAGGCAATGATGAAATTAGAAGATGCAGAAGAAGTCATTAACGAGATGATAGATAAAGAGAAAAAAGATGAAGAAGATGAGGATTTGTATGTTTTGTATGCTAAGCTTGCAAGGCTTACTGGAAAGGTATAGCCATGTTATTTTTTTAACTTGTTTAACAGAAGGCCATGCTATCTTTTATTCTCTCAAACCTCTTATGCAGATTATACCTTTTTGGTATATATTTATGCAATGTTCCAGCTGGGTCAAACCAAAGACCTTGAAATTTGTATTTTCTGCTTTGCTACCATGCCATCTACATTTAGAATTAAGATTAAGGATTGTTTGGCTGCAAACATAGATGTGATTCTTTTTTATTTGATATCATCATATGACCAGTTTAATCACTGTAATTTAAATTTAAAGATGTATTTGGTATTTACCAAAGTTGTTATTTTGCTGCTTATTGCATAACTGACAAATATATCTGCTTTTCTTCCTGTCAAGTTAAAGTTCTTTTCATGCCCAATTTTTAGTGTGATGTTGTGCTCCATTTTTGTTTTGTCTAGAAGTAGTGGGAGTATCAGTTCTACTAAGTGGAAATTCAAATTTAAACAGGGAAAATTATCCTTTATAACTTCATTTGTTAATTTTAAAAGGTGATTTCAAATTAATATTAACATCGTTTTGGAATGACACTGGATATTGGTACAAATGAAGTGGAGAGAGGTTGTAAAATTTTGTAATCACAGGTAAGAATTCCTATTTTTGTATGCATTTGTATTTATTGCATGTGTCTTAAGATTTGTAAAATGATATGTTGGGAAGCAACCTGTTCTCAAAATCATTTAGGAATGTTAGACATCAGCGTAAATTAAAACTGGAGATAAAAAACTACCATCTAGTACCGGAGAAAAGAAGCATCAATTACTTCATATAAAAAAAGCCGTTTTAATACTTGTAAAGATTAGATATTTTTTCCTATTATTGAATTATGACCCACTATAAATACACAAGAGCATAACTTTCTTTAAAAGTTATGTAAATCACAGAGACAAAGTTTTGATAGTGTACAGCAACTTATTATTGATCTGTACGACAGCTTGCATTTTACAACCTTTCTCTGCTTCAGCTGGTACCAATATCCGGTGTGGCTCACATACGGTGGTTAACTTCATTTACAAAAGTCATGCCCCAAATATTCTGTGTATTATTTTTGTGATATAATATAGTTTGTTGTTCGTTGTAGGCATTGTATGTATCTGGAGAAAAAGAAGACGCCTTGCTATATACAAGACATGCTGCTAAATTGTTAAAGATAGCAGAACCAGAGGGATACTGTAATACTCATGCTCGATATTATATCTTGTGGGTGTTTCTAAAATTTCTTAGAATTTCTACAAAAGCTAGAAAGTATGTATTTCTTATGTTTTACATGAATGTATACATAATTCAGTGGTATTTGGAATTTTTATGAAAGTTTGTATGCATTTAGAACTTGTTGAACAGCATCATAATGTTGAAAAAAATATATCTGTAACATTTATACTTTCAGAGATACAATCAATTAAATATTTGTAAAATAGATCTTTAAAAGTATAGAATGTGCATAAAAAGCATTGAAATAAATGCATTTGTCACTTTAAAATTCCATTTTTATGATATGAAAATATTAGGGGTTCACCAGATTCAACTTTGCTGTTAAAATCATTTTAAGTTTGAATGGTATTTAACAAAAAACATAAAAACAAATGCCATCACCATGTTACTCTTATTTTGTCCATTTCACACTTTTTTCAATCTATATTATATATCAAAATATAATTAGGGCCCCGCCGAATCCTCCGAATGGTGGACGCCCTATAGTGATCTGTCTGTCTGTCTGTCTGTCTGTCTGTCTGTCTGTCTGTCTGTCTGTCTGTCTGTCTGTCTGTCTGTCTGTCTGTCGGTCTGTCCGTCCGTCCGTCCGTCCGTCCGTCCGTCCGTCCGTCCGTCCGTCTGTCAGTCCGTCCATCCGTAACAAATTGTGTCTGCTCTATATCTAGAGAACCGTTATGATTTCAAAGTTTATACTTGACATGTATATTAACCAACACCAGAGGGTGTGTCATAATGTATGTACAACTTCCTAGGTCAAAGGTCAAGGTCAAAAACTTTGGTTTCAGTTGACAACCCCATGTCCTATGGTAAAGATCGTGTCCGCTCTATATCTTGAGAACCGTTATGATTTCAAATTTTATACTTGATATGTATATAAACCAACACCAGAGGGTGTGTCATAATTTATGTACAACTTCTTAGGTCAAAGGTCAAGGTCAAAAACTTTGGTTTCAGATGACAACCTCATGTCCAAATGATAAAGATACACAGTTTTTACCACACATTATTCAAAGCAGGGCCCACAGAGATTGATCCCATCTCAATGATATCTAGTTTCTACTGAAAAATGAAATTCAGATCCCTGCATCCTTGGACTGAAAGGTCATATTATGCCTGCTTGAAATTGTTCAAATTATGTTTATTATTCATCTCGATTTAGACTAATATTTTAATTTTATCATTCATCAGATTTATCTTGTCACCAATATGGAAATTATTCCAATTACCGGGGGTAAAATATTCCTTCTTTTGGACACGTACTGATGTAGATTTAACACCAAAAAAAAATGCACAAATGGCATTAAATAATATCATGTAAAACCAAATATTTTGATGGAATGAAAATGATTGGATATTGGTTGATTTAGGTAAATTAACCTTAAATTTACCTGAATATTACTGTAGAAATTTTGATTTGAAAATCTAGCAGTTTTTCTAAAAAAAACTTCTTGTTGTAGAACTAATCATTTGCAAGAAAAATGGTTGATAGATGAATGTTGGATGTACTGGCATTTCTTTTGAACCTATGCTTGGCTGATTAATTATTATCATAATTTTATACAGACCATCAACAGACAAAACTGTGGAACAAGGATATTGTTTATCTGAACTGTATGAATTTGAAAAAGAAAACAATGAAGAATGGAAGATGTCAATCAATAGTTTTAGACAGATGATCAAAATTACTGGAAGATTTAGTAATTTACATCAGGTATAAGTCATTTAATTTCCATAAACATCTTATTTTTATATACCATATATACATATGAATAAAATCAGATTTTCATAGATAAATGATTTTTTTATCATAAATGTTTAAAGATTTTAAAAAAGGGTACAATTTCAGTTTGGTTGAAAAAGAGAGGAATAAGATATCAAACTCATAAGTCGAAAACAAGCTGACAATGGCATGGTAAAATAAGAAAAAGACTAAAAGACAAACAACAGTAAACAAAACACAACATAAAAAAACTAGAGACTGATCAACATAAACCCCTCAAAAACTGGGTTGATCTCAGGTGCTCTGGAAATGAATTCATACATTTTCATCTTTCAATTTGATTGACATGAAATTGCCATAACTTTATAGATTATGATGATTTGCTTTATATGTAGATATAAATGAAGAATAATGATTTGTTTTATATATAAGTTTAATTGAAGAATAATGAATACTTTAAGTAGATTACATGAGCTTAGATGGGTTGAGACTTTTCATGGCTTAAATTGCTTGACTTTTGCTCCCTAATGTCATTTAACTAAATTTTTAATGAAAAGTATGACAATTAACTAAATAACTTTAGAATGAATTAATAGGTTAACAGAACCATTAGTTGCAAGCTATTCATAATTATTACATCTGTATCTTCACAAATTAAGTCAAGTCTAAAAGAAAAAGTATGAAATTTTTTAGAGCATTATTGCTCAAATATCTGAAAGTTCAGTATACACATATTGCATGATTGTGCAAGAAGCTTGGAGTATATTTGTCCAAAATAACTTCAAAATATGCCCTCAAACACTGATGTATGAAATAAATTGGCATGAAAATAATTTGATGGTCAAATATGTAGTTTAGATCATTCCTTTCGTGGTCAAATTCTTGTTTTAATGTTCAAGATAATCTGATTTTTTTCCCTAGATAATTAGAGCTTACAAAGTAATGATTGAATTCTGTGGAAAGTACAATCATCCAAAGATGAAGGATAAACTAGAAAAAGAATTTTTGGCAAGGTAATAGTTTATTATTTGTAGTTTTTAAAATCTAAATTTTGGAATATCAATACAAGAAAAAGAAATCTGATAATAATTGATTTAATAAGTTTTATCAATCTGAAAATATGTAAATTTTTCCACAGTTTTGCCTAGCCTATTGCAAAGGTTGCTCAATGCAATGCATAGATACATTCTCTTTTGGCCTTTTGCTAACAAAACAAATTAAAAATTTAAACACTAAAGTTCTTCTTCTTATGAATTTTATTACCTGAATACATGTGTATTTGAATATTGATTTATTTGTTTACAGTTGCTTAACAAGAAATGAGGAATTACAGGCAGATGATATGGTGACAATGTCTGAAGTCTGTGCTGATATTTGTTTAACTAGCTTACAGAAAGGAGACATTACAAGGGCAATTTCTTCTGGTAAAAAAATATGAGCATCAACTATGTCTGGTATCAGTCACAAAATTTAGGATCATACTTTTCCATGTACAGTAGCAACCATATTTTTTTTTTTTAGGTCAAATTTTCATGAAAAATGATTGAGAAATTCAGTTTTCAACCAAATACAAATCAACTACAGGCTTGGAGAATAAATCAACACCTTTTACAAGATCAAGTATTCCCAAAATACAATTTTCCTCAATCCATGTAAAAATTGGAACTCAGGAGAGAATGAAGTCTATAATGTTAAATGTTTGCTCAAGTCAGTTGTCAGTTTTATTGAAATGAACAGAGTTTTATTTTAGTGTATTAGAATCATGCTACTATAAAATGATATTGCTTGTTATACAGGGCATTGTACTGTAGAGATCTTATATTTTTAACTTTTCTAAATCCAATTTCAATTTTGCAAACTCTATATAAAAAAAAAAAATAGAATGTTTCTTGTTTTATATTGGAAGTGTTATCGATTTAATATTAAACAAAGAACAGAATCTATAAAGATGCATCAGTTAATTTTGTGGTGAAGAGGACTGTCACTTTCTCTCTTTTATTCTAGGTACAGCTGTAGTAGAAATTGGAGACAGTATGAAACAAACTGACATTAACAGAACTGTTTATCCACTGATGGCTTTAACATTACTATTTACTGATAAGTATGTATGGAGGCTTGAACTAATTTTCTTAATGTTAATTTAGTGTATGGCATTGCTTTATAAAACACAAATATTGGTTCAATACATGTGGTACTTTGCAAAAATATCAGTTTTCTTCACCAATTTGCATAGACTGTATGTAGTAAATGTCAAGATGAAGGACATAAATGAAGTGCTGGTTCATTGATATTAAGTGAGCATGTTATTAGCTCACCGGGGCCCTTTGGCTCCATGTGAGCTTATGCCATCACTTGGCGTCCGTCGTCTGTCATCGTCATCGTCTGTCGTAAACTATTTCAAAAATCTTTTCCTCTGAAACAACTGGTCCAAATACCTTAAAACTTTAACTAAATGTTCCTTAGGGTATCTAGTTTATAAATTGTATCCAAAGTTTTGATCCATCGACAAACATGGCCGCCATGGCTGAAAATAGAACATAGGGGTCAAATGCAGTTTTTGGCTTATATCTCAAAAACTAAAGCTTTTAGAGCAATATTAGGGTATCTCGTTTATAAATTGTATCCGAAGTTTGTATCCATTGACAAACATGGCCGCCATGGCTAAAAATAGAACATAAGGGTAAAATGCAGTTTTTGGCTTATATCTCAAAAACTAAATCTTTTAGAGCAAATGTGACAGGGGTAAAATTGTTTAATTGGTCAAGATCTATAGGCCCTGAAACTATCAGACGAATCGAACAACCCATTGTTGGGTTGCTGCCACCGAATTGGTAGTTTTAACAAAATTTTGCAGTTTTTTGTTATTATATTGAATATTATTATAGATATATATAAACTGTTAGCAGCAATAATGTTCAGCAAAGTAAGATCTACAAAAAAGTTAATATGACCAAAATTGTCAATTGACCCCTTAAGGAGTTATTGCCCTTTAAAGACAATTTTACACAATTTGTTCATCAAGTTTGCTAACATTTAAAAATCTTCTCCTCTGAAATACAGGTGAGCGATTCAGGCTCTTGAGAGCCTCTTGTTTCATATACTTTCATTCAATATCCCTTATTTCCATAATGAATGTCATTTCTTCACATATTCAAGAAAAGGTGTAATGTAGTCATATATGCATATTTTTCTAAACAAACTAATTTTTCTCAAAGGATTTATATTTTGCCAGTAGAAATTTAATTGGAATATAAATGATCATGATTTTGTCAAATTTGGATCCTCTCTTGAATAAAAGTTAGAAAACCAGAAAAATAAATTGCTGCAAATTTGACCAAAAAGGACTAAAAAGGAGAAAAAAATGAAAAAAATAGGTTTACTGTAACTCCTCTTTCTGCACCACTCATCACATAAAAAGGTAACAAATCAAAACCAAGTATGATAGCAGATTGCAAAATTTTGTATTTTATATAAATCTTAACATGTGGTAGCAGATACATTGAATTATAAGTATTTTTACAATTACTGCATATTGTATACACCCAGGAAGACTCCTTGTCTAGACATCATGCAGAAGATGAAATCCTATAACAAGAAGAAATATAGCACTGTTGGTCAAGCCTGGTACCATGCTATTAACATGGAGGTCATGTTAAGTTGGAGTAAGTACTGTTACTGTTACTCAGGCCTTGCATCATGAAATCAATAGTTGTTGCCAACCTCCAACTGATATGTTTCAGTTTGGAGTTTAATTCGGAAAGCTCAAGTGCACAGTCAAAATTTTCTTTATAGAATATATGGAAAGAGGGAGGTATCATTCTTTGAAAAACTTGCAGTATCACTAGTAAGGTTAGGTATGTACATGAAAGTGTATGAATTACTTGTAGGGCATATGTTTGTCTTGCATGTGTTCTATGGTCTGGCCTTGACTGCTTTTCAAACTCAGTTGGTCAACATAAGTGTTTTAGTCTGCCATAAATGTATAAAAAAAATATGTCAGAATGAGAGCAAAAGTATGCTGATATGGTTGTTGGAATGGCTCCTACAGTGACTGCATTTTCTAGTAGTATTACTGAGTAGTAAATACTTCTGATGATAGATGAGCTAGGTATTGGTACTTTAAATCTTGTATTTGGCTGGGTTATGGTTTCTTTCTGACATATGTTGGTTGTCTTTGACCTTATTTTCTTGGTTCAATGACTTTAATACTAATTTCAATGTTAAGTTTTCATGATTAGGATACTAGGTTCATTGATCAGTGTATTTAAATATAAGTTTCTCAGATACTTTAATTAATAGGTAAACTATGCCATTATTGTAAGGTGTACATGTTCTGACTTGGGTCATCTCACCTGACCTCAAACCTCATTTTCATGGTTTATTGGCCAATGTTAAATTTTCTTTCTCGTTTACATTTAAATTAAGATATGTCATAAATGTTTTTGATTCCAGATATATCTCAGGAACCTTTTGATGACAGTTTAGATTTTGCCACCTATTTAATGAGCAAAGCAGATGCAGTCTACAATGAAATGCTCCCAAGATACATGCTTACAATGTCTATAGCAATGTGGTAAGTGGCTGTAATGAAAAATGCAGGGAAAGATAGTGTAACTTTTGACAGGGTGCTCCGTGTTTATATCTTAGGAAAGGGGTCTCAGTATTTTAACTTCTTTTGAATGAAAAAAAATGGAGTAAAATCAGTGATAACAGGAATCCTTTTTCTCTTTTGAATCCTTCGCAGACATGAAAAGAATATAGTAGAAGAAACAATATGTGATTGATATAGCCATGTAAGACAACAATACTGTAAAATACTTGGAAATGGTCATATTATAATCAAAAGGAACACTGCTTTTATTGCTGATCTTTATCTTAGCTGCTGTTGAAAGATCTTTTCTGATGAACTACAAACAAATCAGCAAATCAGGAAAATGCCTGTACCAAGTCAGGAAAATGGCAGCTGTTTTTCACTTGTTCTGTTGATTGATAGCGTTTGATTTGTCAGTTTTTACTGACTCCCCCTTTTTGAATTTGCCTTGGAGTTTTTGTTATACTTTTTTTTAGATGGACCTTTGTCAACAATATATGGGAATTTCCTTTGTATTCAGTCTACTATACATATTTTTATAGTAATGTTAAAATGTAAATATTTCTGGATCATTTTAATAATATTTAAGTCCAATATCAAAAGAATTCTAAACTAAAGACATATTTCTAAAAGTTTCAGAATTCTACACAAAATAATAAAAAAAAAATGTAAAACATATTGTAAATGGCATGTATTCTGTATGTAAACTAATGTAACCTATGTAAAGTAAGAATTTTTTTATTGGTTAAAATGGAGCTTCTTTGAAAAATCTTGTAAATCTTGTAAAACTTTTACATAATAATAAGAACCTATCATTGCAATCAGGTGGATTTGATTGAGTCTTGCATGAAATAGGGATATGATTCTTCAATTATCCTTTTGAAATTTATAAAGCCATAAGCTTGAACAAAACAAATGTCCAGATAAAATGGTTTATTTGTAATCAGACTCCTTTAGAGTAATGTTAAACAATACTTGTAGTTAGATTTCATTGCAGTAATAATCTATTATCTAAGGGAGATATTTTTTTTACTTTCAGGTACTGTAGACATGACCAGTGGTCAAGTGCTCAGGTTTGGTTTGATTATTGGGAAGTGTTTGATCTTGGTGAGATCAATTTTCTATCAGTATATGTGCTAGCAAGAAAGATTGAGATCATGTTGATGTCTCTTAGTATCAGTAAAATTACAAAACCAAAGTTTCTATGGAAACAATTAGAGACAGCTGCTTCAGAGGTATATGTTATACAATGTGAATTTCTGTCAGTTGATAAGATGTAGAAATATTACTCACATCCTACATTCACTTATCTGTTAATGTTTAAATGCTCAGTTAACCCTGATTTATACAAAAACATACTTTTACTATAGGTTTGTGCACATATTTGTCAAAGATATTGTCTGATTTAAACATGAAATTAGTGCATTTTTTTTATTAGAATTATATAGATTTACCACAGGTAGGCCTAAAATTTCACATTTTACAACTTGCTCCACTCTGGGTAAACCGTCTTATAAAAATATGGCCAATCCATGGAAAATATGTAATAAACTTTTGGACTGTCATGAATTATGTCTTAATTGGTTTAAGGATTTATTTCATTTGAATCAGAGATAGCACAGGGTTTCCATTTAACTATACAATACTCAAACTTGTAAGGATTTGCAATAATGTTTTTCATAAGCATTTTTTCACACATAAAAAAAAACTAAAAAAAACTATTAACTCTTGCTTCAAAGACTCATGGTAAGGGCTGTTCCATAATTGAATGCAAAGGGGGATGCTGGGTCACAAGACACAAGGTGATTATTTGAGAAAGATAGCCTGAGCTTGTTATAGGAAATAATAAATCCAAATTCAAAGCATGGCACAGTAAAATAAAAAGCGTCTTGCAACCCCCAAGTACATTTATTTCTTGAACAGCCCTTAAAATTATTAAAGGCAATTGTCAATCGTGAAAAGGCAGTGGAGTTATCAAAAATTGGCATGAATATATCTAGTTTTATTTCAATTGAGTATAGTATATATTTTGAATATGCCTTTTCATTTATTTTTAGGATCTCAAGAAAATGTCAGGAGCAATAAAGAAGGTAGTCACACTTAAACCAAGATACCATCATTTAAATGCTTACCTGCTAGCACTGAAGCAAAAATATTGTTGGTCAGAATTAACAACCATTAGGGCATTAAAACTGGCAAAAAAGCAAGGAAATAAACTGGAAAGTGGGTGGATAAAACACAACCGACATCACTGGTTTGGAAGGAGAGCACAAATCAGGGGAGATAACCATGCTGCTGCTGAATGGTACAAATTGTTCAGTAGCTCATACCAGCAAGGATTTTGTACATGGCCACTAGTTGCTAATTAGAGATATGAAAATGTTGAGCATTTGTGACTTTATCTTGATGAACTTCTTATGTATGGATGCAGTTTCTTACAGCATTGATTGAAAATAGTTGTTTACTGTTGTATATTGCTTTTTGTTTGGTCTGTGACCGAGGTCAGCGCATAGGAATCTCTAATCGCCATCTTCCACTGTCTTTATCATTGTCATACTTCTCTTATGCAACTTCTCGGAAGCTTCTCAATAGAAATGGTTCAGTGTTAAACAGTATCTTCAACTCAATATTTCCTCCTGGATATATTTGCAAATGGATTTTAAACCGACAGCAATCAATCAATCAATTAATGAAAATTCTGATTCATTTATGTTTGGGGTTCCTCCATACAATGACAATTGCACAATATGGATGAGGCATGCATATTATATCTATCTCTTCTAGAATGTCTTAATAGAACCATCTTTTTCTACAGGAAGTGAACTATAGCACTATCTAAAATATTTCTACCAAAAAATAAATGTCGACATTCTTTTTTTAGAATAATTCATATTAAATTTAATTATTTTACAAAGATAATATGCAGGAAAATCTGTCTTAGGTGAATTGAACAAAATTATATCTATAGAAATTGAAATCAATTTTGGGAAAGATTTTTTCAATCAAACCTGCTAAGTTACTATTGAAATTATCTCCCCCTACATGGAAAACATATATTCAAATAAAATTGAGAATGGAAAGTTACTTCTCCTTGCCAAATCATTTCAGATAAATATATAATTCTGTGTATTCTGAGAAATAACCCAACTTTATTATGAATAAGATATGATGGGTAAAGTGATTGTATATCCAAGATAATGTTCATCTCAATATAAATTGCATATCTGAAAAAAACACATGTTACTTTCAAATAAAATGAAAAATGTGAAATTCCCAAGATTGCAGAGGCCATAGTTGCCCAGTTATATAGTGTCTGTCTAGCTTAAATGAAAAGCCTTGATTAGTAGCACATGTTTTCCATCTAACTTTATAAAATACTCTTGTAGAATATTTTAAGGTCTTTGTTAAAACATTGCAATCATTTCTGAATTTATGATATAGCTGATGTTCAAAAATCTTGGTTGCTATTGCTTTTTTAGGAATGTAATGAACCTCTCTTTGAATGTGGACAGATATGACATGTAACAAGATAAAAATATTGTGATATAATGTGATAGTGTTTTATACTAAATTTTGATGTTTTTGAATTTATTTAAATGAAACATATTTTCAAATTCACCTGTCTTAAACGGGACCAATGTTATTGAATATTTATTATGTTAACTTATGTGAACTGATTGAAAAAAAGATTATGTGTCCAGACTTAGTTTACAAGCCTCTGACAATGCTCTGTTCTGATTATAATTTATGTGAACCTAAAACCATGTATAAGTTCCAGCGTAAAATAATAGAATTTCTGCTTCCAAATTTTTGAAGGTGTAAATCATAACAACAAAATCTTAGTATCCAAAAAAACTCTTAAATCAGAAAGTAGTATGGAGTGTTGTCAGATCCTTATAAGCAAAGTGTGGACTCAGGATCTGTATTTCGAGCAGATTGAATTTAAGATGGAGTTTATCACCTGTATGAGAGTGTCTTTTCATTTACAGCCAAGGTTGAATCACATAGATTTTTGAAAAATCTTTTAAAAAGTGCATTTAGGCCAGACCAAATATTACATGTTATCTGTAATTTTCTCACATCAATTTTGGACAGGTTAAACTTGCAATGAAATAAATTTCTGCAAATCTACATGTTTTCAACTTTTTTTGTAATTTTGATTGAAAAATTTCTTATTTTACGAATATTTCAGTTTTAAATTTTGACCAATGTCTGTAATAGATATGAAACCTTTAATTTCAGCAGAATAGATATTAATATTAGAAAGCATATTCAAATATTAAGGAAATTAAAAACAAATGGGTTTGTTCTTACATATTTATTACTGAAATGTGAGCACTAAATTTTTAATGAGTAAAAGTGTGAATAGTATGAATGGAATAAAAATCAATATTAATTTTGTTATTGAATTCAGTTTTCTATTATTGGCTAAGTTTTTTTCAAAAGTGAAGATATTTCTTGTGTATTATCAAGATAAATTAATATGAACAAAGAGTTTTGGAGCATACACCCATGAGACAGCAACCCAATGACAAAAATAACCAAAAGATATCCAGAGGTTAGCATTCAGTCTTCAACAATAAAAAATTGTCAAGTTCCTAACACCCCAAGATGAAAAAGTTGTGAATGTATTTAATAGAGTCTTTCAAAGGAATTGATACAATATTCTAGAGCTTGCTTTCCCTATCATAATTTCCTTGATAGAGGATAGTTGCTTACAGCTAACAAGGAAGCTGTTGGACCATGGGTTTCTAGTGGTGAGGTTGAGATCCACTTTTCAAAAGTTTTATGTATGATTTTGTTGATCGTTATGGAATATCTGTGTTACAGATGACCATGGATATGTTCCAATTGTCGTAGCCACAATCCTATCCTCTTTTCCTCAGTTGCGATATCCCAGAATTAAACTTTCCTTAGATTTCATTCTTGCCATAAGTAGCACACTGGTTGCCACATGTGTAGCAGGATCTTAAATTGAGAATGGAAATGGAGAATATGTCAAAGAGACAACAACCCGACCAAAGAACAGAAAATAGCCGAAGGCCACCAATGGGTCTTCAACACAGCAAGAAAATCTCACACCTGGAGGCGGGCTTCAGCTGGCACCTAAACAAAAATATGTACTAGTTCAGTGAAAATATAGGGTAGAAAAATATAAGCATGCAATTAATTAAGTACTTCCAACGAATTTTTGATACTCCAAAAGTAATTAATTCCACTTAATCTGCTTACTGGACCATCTTAGGTCACCACCAATTTATTGTTGGATTCATGTTGCTCAGTTTTTTGTCGAGCCTGCGAAAGCTCGACATAGGGATAGTGATCCGGCGGCGGCGGCGGCGTTAGCTAACTTCTTAAAAGCTTTATATTTTAGAAGGTGGAAGACCCGGATGCTTCATACTTTGTATATGGATGCCTCATGTTACGAAGTTTCCCTCAGTCACATGTCCAATGTCCTTGACCTCATTTTCATGGTTCAGTGACTACTTGAAAAAAAAGTTCAGATTTTTTGTAATGTTAAATTCTCTCTTATTATAAGTAATAGGATAACTATATTTGGTATGTGCGTACCTTGCAAGGTCCTCATGCCTGTCAGACAGTTTTCACTTGACCTCGACCTCATTTCATGGATCAGTGAACAAGGTTAAGTTTTGGTGGTCAAGTCCATATCTCAGATATTATAAGCAATAGGTCTAGTATATTCGGTGTATGGAAGGACTGTAAGGTGTACATGTCCAACTGGCAGGTGTCATCTGACCGTGACCTCATTTTCATGGTTCAGTGGTTATAGTTAAGTTTTTGTGTTTTGGTCCGTTTTTCTTATACTGTATGCAATAGGTCTACTATATTTGGTGTATGGAATGATTGTAAGGTGTACATGTCTAGCTGACAGGTGTCATCTGACCTTGACCTCATTTTCATGGTTCAGTGGTTATAGTTAAGTTTTTGTGTTTTGGTCCGTTTTTCTTATACTTTATGCAATAGGTCTACTACATTTGGTGTATGGAATGATTGTAAGGTGTACATGTCTAGCTGGCAGGTGTGATCTGACCTTGACCTCATTTTCATGGTTCAGTGGTTATAGTTAAGTTTTTGAGTTTTGGTCTTTTTTCTTATACTATATGCAATAAGTCAACTATATTTGGTGTATGGAAATATTCTATGATGTACATGTCAGTCTCACAGGTTTTATTTGACCTTGACCTCATTTTCACGGTTCATTGCTCAGTGTTAAGTTTATGTGTTTCAGTCTGTTTTTCTTAAACTATAAGCAATAGGTCAGCTATATTTGTTGTATGGAAGGATTGTAAGCTGTTCATGTCTGCCTAGCATGGTTCATCTGACCTTGACCTCATTTTCACGATTCATTGGTCAATGTTTAGTTTTCTTGGTTAAGTCTGTTTCTTAGAAACTATAAGCAATAGGTCAGCTATATTTAGTGTATTGAATGATTGTAAGGTGTACATGTATTTCTCGTTTGATTTATATGACCTTAACTTCATTTTCTTGGATCATGTTAAGTTTATGTAATAGTTGTAGTAAAGCTTTCATTTAGGACTATCAACATAACATCAATGGTTAGTAAAGAAGGCGAGACATTTCAGCGTGTGCACTCTTGTTTTATTTCTATGAAGTGTATTGTAGACTGTTATTTGTGTCTTCCTTGTTTTTTGTCTCACCTGTGACAATAGTCTATTAAAGTATGCAAGACATAGGGATTAATTACTATCTGGCAGCGGGGTAAACTATTTGTATAAAGCTTTATATTTCAGAAGGTTAAAGACCTGGAGGCTTCATACCTTGTATGCAGATACCATATGTTACGAAGTTTCCATCTGTCATATATCAATTGTCCTTGACCTCATTTTCATGGTTCTGTGATCAAGGTTGAAGTTACATGATAAGGTTCTTTCTTGTGAAATGGAATGATTGTAAGGTGTACATGTCGATCTAGTTGATATCATCTGACCTTGACCTCATTTTCATGGTTCATTGATCAATGTTAAGTTTTTGTGTATTGGTCTGTTTTTAAATTATTATAGCAATAGATCAGCTTTATTTGGTGTATGGAATAATTGTCAGGTGTGCATGTCTGTCTGGCAGGTATCATCTGACCTTGACCTCGTTTTCATTGTTCATTGGTCAATGTTAAATTTTTGTGTTTTTAGTTGTTTTTCAATTACAATAAGCATTAGGTCACCTATATTTGGTGTATAGAATAATTGCAAGGTGTACATGTCTGTCTGACAGGATTAATCTGAACTTGACCTCATTGTCATGGATCTTTAAAAATGTTCAGTGTATGAGATACTTGTAGTAAAACCTTTATCTTTAAGACTTTTAACATAAAATCAATGGTCAGTAAAGCAGGCAAGACATTTCAGCCTGTGCACTCTTGTTTTTTTTTTTTTATCATAGTATTGTAGGTTTTTCTCTTCACCTTATGATTTTAAGCTCACCTGGCCCTCAGGGCCAATATGAGCTTTTGCATTCACTTTATGTCTGTCCTACGTCATCTGTAAACTTTTTATGTATTTTTTTTTGCTCTGAAACTGCTCAATGCTGAAACTGCCCAATGGAATGAAACCAAAGATTGCCTGCTTCATCTGTCTATAAAGTTTGTGATTTTCACCAAGGTTGATGAACCAACATAGACGCTATGTCTAAAAATAGATCATAGTAGTCAAACTACAGTTTTTGCTAAAGGAGCAACCATTTAACTTCAAGGGGGGGGTTATGGTTTTTTGTCTGAGTCAGAAACTTTTTTTCATGCAAAGGGTGATCAATTTTATTAAGTTTTTCAATGCTATCAATCAAACTATTTTTTTCAATATTTATCACTATAAGGTATGTGGAAAATCTGGATTCAAAATATTTTTTTTTGTCATCTGCTGGACCAAAATATTTTTTTTCATCAAATTGGGGATCAGAATATTTTTTTGGTAAAAAACCAAAACCCCCCCTTGAAGTTAAATGGTCGTTCCCTAATATCTCTAAAACTTCAGCAATAAGGTAAAAATGGTCAGCACAACAAATTCCAAAATTTGAAAAATCTGTCCACCTGTTAGGGAGTGATTGCCTCTGAAAAATTGATTTTTAACCATTTTGGGATTTCCTTCAATGCCATTGTTTCAAAAACAATCTGAGCTTGGTTAAACGTGTATATTACAAAAATGATCACCATGACAGGATGTATCAACCATGAAAATTGGAGAAATATCTAACTACTTTTTTTGCAGTCATCCGCCACGATATAGTCAATTGTGCTGAAAGTGGCGCTTAACACCAACAATCAATCAAGTTTGCCTTCACTGGTAGCACATTAATAATTCGGCTCAGCATGTCATTCTTGTACAAAGAATGCTTTATATTCACATTGTATTACCATGTTCTTGTCCTGAATATGCTTTTAAACTTGCCACTGGACATTAAACATTCATCCATCCATTATCCCCCCTTTTTTGCAAGAATAAAAATAATCCATGGTATGATACACTTGGAGGAAAATAAGAAAACTTGACAGAGGCAAATAATGAAACAACAGCTGTATTAATACTTGTATTGAAAAAGCAAACACCCTACACAAGGATTTGTATAGTGAGATCTCTATACAAATCCTTGCCCTACATGTTACAATTATAAAAACAATCAAGTAGAAGAAAATAAAATGATATAAATAAAAAAGAGAGTAAAAAAAATTTTGCTCCCAGAAATATATTTTTTTAATTGTCCCCTTTTGGTGTACTTAGAATCTACTTAATCTTTGAAATATTTCCCCCAAAAATAATCTACGGATTTTCCAGTCATGACTTGTTTTGTTTTGTATATTATAATCAATGTTAAATTCGTGTTTGAAAGTCCTCAGAATTGTGTTTTATTAAACGTTTTAGTGATTGGAACTTTTAAAAGCTCACCCGCAAAATTTTCACGAGCGGAAGAATTACAAGATACCTTTTTCATGCGTTAAGGTAGAATATTTATTTATTTACAGTCACCATTATCAATCAGAAGCAATGCTTATCTTCCAAGTAAATAAGTGAAGCAGTTGTCATGGGATATTTGTGGTGTTAACTTCTTGTTGACTACTTGTTCAGACACGCATGCATTCATATTTCAATGCAAAAAAATATTCCTAATGTTTTCATAAATGTCAAATAATTTTATCCAACTCGACTGGACTGTAAAACTTGCTTTTAAAACAAATTATTTATGCAAAAGTCTACACTTGTTCTCTTGTTTGGGTGTAGGCTGTATAGCTATTGCAAAAACGGCCTAAAATTATTTGCCTACCTACCGACTAGTTTTTTTGAGGAAACTAGAGTATAATGTTTTTGTGTCCACTAACCTGGTCATTTGGTTGTCTTTTTAATTGTGGAAACGGGTGCTTTGTGAATT